TCTTCCTTTGCAGTTCTTTTCAGTATTTGTATTGCTCTTTTTCTAAGGGTGTTTGAAGAGACTGTATGGAATCTAGTATCAGGACATTTTTCTGGAAGATTTGCTGAACTGATACAAAGCATCAGTAAATATCTTCCGCTAAAATGATGTTCTGGCAGGATCAAGCACTTGGGAGGTCTATAGAAACCCATCTCCCCACAGAAGAACTGTGCCTAAAGTCATAACTCCCACGCTTCAATCAATGATATCCCTGAACCCTACACGCAAAATATATTTCTTCTTTCCTTTGAGTTCCACCTTATCAAAAGAAACCCTACCAGTAAAAAAAAATTATCTTGATCTAGAAAGTAATGATTTACAGATGTTTTTGGAATCAGAAGCCTGATCTACATGTAGTACAATACACAGACGTTGCGTATTTCATCCCTGATCAACAGCCAATCTTAGTCATCCTCTGTGCGGCACACTCTAGTGATTTGTGTCTGCATCTTCACTTATGACATAACAACACGGCTATCTGATTTCATAGCCGCCCACCTCCCAAACCAAATTACGGCCGCAATTAGCGCGTCCTCCTCACAGGATGTAGTCGCCGGATAGATTACTTCCCAATTCCAACGGCGTTAAAAGCCGTAATTGCATCGATACAGGTGGCGCAGAGTGGAATTTAAAAAAAAAGGACCGCGATGTTTCTGCCGTGCGTTGAATGCGGGACTCCGCTGCATGCCATTTCAACGTCTCGGCCAACCCTGAAATCAATAGTTGTGATATTTTACGCATGAGGGAAGGAGGGAGTCGCGGGGTGTATGGCGGAGACATATGTTGACATGCAATATGAGAAGGCAGGCGATGCTTTTAGAGGGCTGTCAAAAGGACACAAACACTTGTCAAATTGTCCTCCCGTCTACCAAGCATCCTTGAAATGAAGACAGCCTGCAGCTCTTCACACACGTTCTGTCCTGGCGCTTAAAAAACTTGCCTAGACATGCAGGTATGGTCAAGAAATTTATATCTTGCAGTTGCAGGTTGAAATTGTGTATCCGAGATCACCTTGATTGACAGTGGATGATACTGGGTGATGATACACCATGAATTGATTAATTTAGATAATAATGGCAACTTGTAAATTAATAATGACTATTGTAATCAGAGATGCCACCAAGATATCAATAAAAAGCCCGAAACACTACTAAAAAAACCCTAAAACTACCCTTATTTGAAAAATGTGTGTTCTGGATTTTCAGACCAAATCCAGCACTTTTAATTTGTCACATGTGAAAAAAACCCTGAATTTCGGTTAAAACCTGAAAAGTGGAATCTCTGTGCAACTGTTGAAAATAAATCACATGGGTGGATTGGGAATTCTGTGATAATGGTCCTATTTTTTGGTCTGTAAAAGACTTCTGGGGTGGGGGAGAGGAGGCCCTTAATGTAACTACAAAGTTATGGCATTTTTCAATTTTGTTTATAAAAAAAGAGGTGGGGGTAACTAGCACCCTGCCACATACATTGCTAACAATTGGCAAATTTTGCAATTTCAGACAAATGTTCTCCAAAAAAATTGAGACATTGTCGATTGAAATGGTGTAGTAAATATAACACTTTTTCAGAGAGGGCAGTTGATTCATGTGGCTACCCGCAGCAGACTGTTTGGTCTCATCCTATAGCAGGCGATGGAAATTGATGCAACGCAGCTCCAGACAATTAGGCGATTGTGCAAATCCCTCAGGTTTCCAAGTCAATCAACTAAAACAGCAGATGGGGCCTCGGTCATTTGTGTGATATGACACCAGTTGGTGTTTCAGAAGGCTGTGAATCTAGCACTGAACAAAAAAGCAATGGGCAAAAACACTTACCCTGACAATTTAAAAAAACACTTTGTGGGGGGGGGGGGAAATAATCCATCAGGGATGTGGTTGAGTCCATCCCAAGTCCATCACAGGTCCTCCAGTCCCAACTCAACTCACGAGCTATTCAAATGATCTTAGACAAAGGCATTTCTTCGTTATTGTTCATCCAGTCAGGTTGGCGTAGCGGTACTTTCCTCGCCTTCCACCGCTGTGACCCAGATTTGAATCCCGCCTGGGCCAATATGTGGATTGGGTTTTCAGTCCCGTGGGTTTTCCCCAGAATATTCTTCTGGGTTTTTCCTCCACCTCTACAACAGAAAGATTTCCATATACGAAGTTCACTCAACACCCTGTGTACAAACCCTATGAGATTGGACTGAAAAATTCTAAGTGTTTTCTAAGAAAATGCTTGTATTTTCTCACTGCTCAAATTGACTTTGATGACATGAAATTGCTATCTGGGGGCTTGTTAGTCAATACAGAGGAAAATTAGTGAACTTTGTATATGGTAATCTTTCCCTCTAAAACTGTTTTCTAACAGAATTGGAAATGTTTCTCAGTCCCGGGGCTCAAAAGTCCCATTTGCCCATGGGGAATGGGGAATACTATTCAACAGTTAGGATCCTTATTGTTCCATGTCGCGGTATTTGTGTGCAAATGCATGCTGGTGTGCACGTTCAGCATTACGCGTAGCGCGTATTGTTCCAAAGTGCCAGCGCTACCGAGTTGGGTTCAAACATTCTCCTGAAGGGATGGTTGAGAGAGAGAAATACATTGTCCAATAAAATTTCAAATATCAAATTACAAGGATCTATATGTCAGTTATATACAACAAATATTGAGTGGCTCAGACTGAATTGGGACGATTATTTTCACAAGGTAAAATCTACATAGCGATGTGTCTTTCTCGATATGGAGCAGGTCAAAACTTTGAAATGGGGTAATGTACAAGTGGAAATGTCTCTATTGGAATAAATTCGGCCAATCGACAAAGTTTGCAGGCTCTACACCTAGACACATACGTAAACCATTCCTGCAGCCTAAAAAATCAATAACACAGACTGAATGTACTGCACTCTCCACATGCTTTCAACAACATATGTTCAACTCTTGAATTATGCATAACCCATCTACGATATAAACATGTGTTGCTGTCCTAGTGCATGCATAGTGACAGCAAATAAACTAGGCTGTGGATATGAAGGATTACAACAAACTGGGAGTTCCAGTGAAATGTATTTAAATGCAAATTATTTTTGGCAAGGTTGCCTATCATTTTTGTACCACTCACGAGTAAAAAGGCATCGTGTACATTAATTTGCAAACATAAAATCAAACTACATGCAGTAGGAAATTAAAGTAGGGTGGGGGCAAAACTGAAATACATTTTATTCATAATTTGGACGATTCACAATGCAGTGCACCACCAAGAGCTTGCCATGGAGATTCCATTTTTCAATTTACAGTCGACAAAACATGGCCCATTTGAAAGATTGCCAGTAGACAACTTGAGCTAATTTGATATGGGCATAGCGTTCTGCCGCCTTACGAAGAACACCATATTGATAAAAAGAAAAGCAACTTAGGGCAAACAGATACTCGAATCATACGCTTACGAAACAACTGACCCGAAAAACTAACAATTTCAAATGTCCCGCACTGCAAATTTGTCGACAATCTCCAACAATACACTGGGAAAAAAATGCACCCTCCATGGCAAACTCTTGGTGGCGCACTCTGCACTGTGAATCGCCCGAATAATATGCTCAAACATTCGTACTTCACCGACTGAATGACCAAAAAGCTAGTTGGGACCAATGTGTCAAGAGTTGGGCAACAAGTACGTCAAATGCAAACCATGGAGAATTTGTCAAAACATTAATGTACAAGGATTCGATTTAGCCTACACAAACCGCGGGGCACTGTATTGTTGAAGTCTGTAAATGCAGCGGACAGTATACAATTTAAATTCTCACTACGGCTGGCATTGGTTTGTAGCATAGCGCACTGTGTGGGCTAGGTCATCCAGTTTGCGATGGTCGGGGGAAAAAATCGTAGTTTTTTTGTAATGAGCAATAAAAAGCTGATTTCAAAAGTAAGTACTTCATTTAGGACCACTCAAACAAAAACACATGCATGGTGCCATCAGTAACTCAAAATACATATACTCCCCTTCAGAAAAAAAAAGTTATGCCGACGGACCGACCGACCCTAATTTCCTCTATCCATGTGACCCGAACCAAAAGTTTCAGTACAACAGGTAGGCCTACAACGCAGCGTTGTAGGCCTACCTGTTGTACTGAAACTTTACGCTAGTTTGCACTTGCATGTATGAGTTGGCGCGCGCTCGAGTACAAATTTGTCCACGTTCGAGTTGGCCTGCGTACGAATTGGTCTGCATACAAGTTAGCTCGCGTACTACGAGTTGATCTAGTCCAAGTAACTTGGACCCAACTTATCGCCTTTCTAACATTCGGACATGGTCTAGCGATAGACATGTCCGAATGTTAGAAAGGCGATAAGTTGGGTCCAAGTTACTCGGACTAGAGTTGATCTATGTTCCTGCAGGGAATTGGCAGTCAAAGCGGAGTACGAGTATTTGTACACTGTATGCATACATATTTATTTGTTTGGTGTTTTTGTGTAGTATTAGTAAGTATATGGGGAATAATGAAAACTTTTGAAGTGGGAAATGTTAAATCTGAAAGTTTGATTTTTTAACAAATTTGCAGCAAAAGTTTGTGTCAGTTTGTGCTTTTATATTTCAGATTGCAGAAAAATGTTTGCAACTTGACGCCACTTCAGCGGTTGTGTACAAAGTCTATGGAGACTCAAAAAAAGTTATTTCCTAACAAAGTGGAAGTTTTTCTCAGTCCCAAATTCATGTCTACTCTTATCATCATTTTTGAAATGACCGACCTTCACTAAGATGATATATGAAGAAAAAAGTGGCGTCAGGTCGCAACATTTTTTCCAAAATAACCATGAATAAAATATAAAACAAACTGTCTAAAACAGTCTAACATGAACGTCAGTAATTACACGCAACAACAAACAAACAAGAGTTATAAAGTAACACAAGTTTTAGCTAAAATAATGAAATAGCCAAATAACTTTCAAACTTAAGATGAACAAATCAAACGAACTTACCTGTCTGAAAGCATTCCCCCAATCATGGACCCAATCAAGGTGCTCAGTGACTGAGACAGAAATGCCCAACTCATGCTGGCCACACTGCTCCCCGTCTGACAACCGAGATCTAAAAGGGTCGGTCCAAGTAAAGCCACACACATCCCGAAACTCCAAAACACGCTGCAGTAAGTCACAGTGGCTTGAAAGTTGTCTAGAAACAAAGTCTTGGCGGTGTGGGTGGGTTTTCTCCTGGCCGTGGACTGCTTTTCACTGCTGTCTGTCGGGCCAGTTTCCCTTTGCCCCGTTGTTGTTGCCGTGCTAGCGTAGCCGGCTGCCGGCCTGCCCGGGCCTGACGAGCTCTCAGCCCCGTCGGGGTCATGCGAACGGCCCGGTCCGGGACTTCTCTCTCGTAAACTCGCCATGATGGTGGTGGGTGATGAACAGATTAACAGTTACGCGATGAAGTCAAAAATCATCATCATGACACATGCACACACCACACAAAACACAGCTGACTTGAAGAAAACTCGACAAGACAAATGTCAAAAGGAAAACCTAACAGGTTGTCGAAACATGGACACCCATGCCTACGCTAACCACCAAAGGCAACCACTACCACTCGTGTGTTGCATTGCAATATTCAATACGTGATGATCAAGCTATACGCAGGTGTATAATGTAGAGATAATGGATCAAGTGCTACTTCGGTCGTCACCACTTTCTTACGAGGGGTGTTACATAAAACAAATCTCGCCACGCAGAATATATCGCACAAACAAATCGAATAAATGATCTCATGAAGATTTCATTTTAACTCAATGAACATAACTGCATCGCCTTTTGCAACAAAATTGCAATTTCACATGAAATGTGAATTTAACAGCTTTCCTCCAAAATACATGGTTACCTGTGAAAAATAATGATGGAACCTTCACGCGTGAGCAGGAAAGTTAGTGTACAATTGTGGCGTTTAATTAATTCAGTACGTTGCGAGTACAATCATACAAACGATTCCTGTGTGACTGTGGTTGGGTACAATTATTCTGAGATATGTATAACCGTGAATATGTGATGGTAATATGATTGTCAAAGAGTCTGACCTTGCTCCTTTTTATGCATGGTTGGAATAACTTCAAGTCCTCAAAATATCCGGGCAATTTTTTTTTTATTAAATACAAAGGGAGCGCAGGCAAGAACGGCTTAGGGTGGGTGGGGCATCTCAGACCTTTAACCGATCTTTAATCATTTACACTTTACATGTACTGGAGAAATATAAAACACATATCGTTGCTTGAAATACGTGCAAATTTCGGTTCATTGTTTTAAAGCTTTAGGCCACTGTACATGCATGTGGTGAACATCCCCCCTTGTAAATTATGAAAGTGAAACATGCACATATGCTACAATACCTTGAGTAACTCCAGCTCCAATGCTCATCAGGAATTCGACATATAGAGCTGGAGCTACAACTATGTTGTAGATACTAGATTCTATAAAGAGGCCCTAAAAACGGGACTCTCTGTATCTGAATCACAAAAAAATGGTCCTTTTTCCCCTCTAGAGTCCCAACCCAGATTCCATTAAACTGTTACCTCATTATGTTTAATGGAATATGGCTTGGGATTAATATAGGGAAAAAGAACCATTTTTGTGATACAGCTCCAGCTCTATATGTCGAATTCCTCATGAGCATAGGAACTGGAGTTACTCAAGCTAATGCTACAACATGAATGTTTCTGGTAAACCCATTTGGACAAACCCTGGAACAACCTAGTCCGAGTAACTTGGACCCAACCTATCGCCAGACCATGTCCGAATGTTAAAAAGGAGCTGATCGTCGACCCCGCTGTTGGACTCCCAACTCCCACGCAACCTCTGGACCAAATGAACTGGTTCCGCACTGGCGCTGGACCCTGCAGGGCCACCGTCCACAGGTGGACCAACAATCTGTCCCTAGCTCTGTGTACCTGCGGTGATGAGGAGACGATGGAACATGTCGTGGGGGAGTACCCTCTGCAGCGGTTCCAAGGCGGCCTCTCGGCACTTCACCTTGCAGATGACCGGGCGGTCATGTGGCTTTGCCAGACAACCATTGGCAAATAACATTCGGGCAACAGCGTTCGCGGAGAGAATGTTTCAAATGTTGCTGAGTGCTGTCCCATCTGAACAAAAGTACATGTATTTGTACCCTGTTATTCATTTTGCTTATTTCAGATTAGCTGTCAACAGCAAAAACACAAAACTCCGCATCATAAACCTTTTTTATTCATTCTCTTAAAAAAAAACACCTTAAATTTCTTCAAATATTTACAAGCATTTTTAATAACAATGCCTACATTGTAAATTTAGGTTTCAATTAATAATGTAAAATACAGGTTTAAAATCCATCCATTAAATGTAATATAACTAACTATAAACTTGGATTTTGTACATAACTTGTGTCATCTCTACAGGTTGTCCCACAAAAAAAAACTAACAGACAAATACCAATTATTAAAGGTACATGTATATTGCATGTGGGTTTTGGAATATTCAAATTACATCTTAAAGTCTGATATTAAACCAATCTACCATACAAACTTTACTTGATTCAAATCGATGCATTGGAACAAACGCTATGCTTCATCGAACTCAATGGTTGAAAATCGTCTTGGGCCACTTTCCTTGAAAGTGAGAAAGCGCAGTTAGAGAAACACACAAACGAATCATTTCCTTTGTTCGAGAGTAACGTGCTACTTATTTCACTGGCTACGATGTGTAAAACTTGATAAAAAGTGGCCCAAGTGGTTTTTCAAGTCCCGTATTGTGATTGTTGTATCTTTTAAACAACAGTAAACATATAATGAAACCAACTAAAAAGCATTTGGAAGACCAATTATTCTACTCAGCAATACATTATACACGATTTTGAACACTACGCCCACTTTTCTTAAAACATGCCCGATATTCGACTGTTAGGTTTTTTGGGGGAGACAACCTGTACAAAAACAAAATAATGAAAATTACCCATGGATTCCTGATGAAGGGCTTAAAGCTATAGTCCATCATTTGCAGCCATCCGAAAAGTAACTGGCGTAATTATTGTTGAAAACCATACTTGGTTGAAAGATAGTAAGTGGACTAAACTCCCTGTGAATTTATTCTTTCTGGCAAGCTGTCATTTTGAAGTAATCAACAAAAGATTTTTTAAAATTAGTAGTTCGTTTTGTTATTCGGCGAAGCGTGCCCAAGCATTGGCACGAGGCACACGCGCGTGCGGTTGCTATAATTCGTCGGATCAGTGCGCGACATCGCATATAGCTGCAACCGGCTCAGTGAGAACGTGTCTCGGACGCTGAATTCAGGCCCAATTCTAAACATGATTCAGCAACTTTTGATTTGAAATTGAGATCCCAGAATGCTTTTTTTTCTCTCGGAATATACAGCTGAAGCTGAGCTGAAACTTCATCAGGTTAGTTGTTCAGTATCCTTCATTAGATTTTGAACACTTTTGTTGCTTCAAACGAACAAAATGCACAAATTACAAATGATGGACTATATCTTTAATATAGCAGTCAAATTTCATGCACATCTGTTACCTATTAAAAAAGCCATCGTTTTTTAATTTCATGTGAATTTACATATTGATGTGTCTGTAATTCTCCCCAGTTTCAATTACTGGATAGACAAATGGCAGATGACATCCAGTGCTGTTACAATTTGTAATAAACAACATTCCTTTCCAACTCTGTTACTCCATTCCCCCCCCCCCCCCCCACAAAAAAAAGTATAGAAATTAAAATTCAGTGCCCATGAACAGTATCGTTTCGGTTTGCGGTACGCTCAGTAGATATTTAGTTCTGATAAGAACTTGTCCTGCTTATTATCAACTTTTGCTAAGTAGTTTTTAGTTCTGATAAGAACAGTCTCCTGACGATGACAAGAGCAGGCTAGACGAAACGTTGAGACCAAAGACAAGTTTTTTTTTAGAGCTTAAAGCAGGACTGTTCTTATCAGAACTAAAACTACTTTAAAGGGAAAATACAACATTTGCAAACATCAAAAAATAAAACTACCAAATCATTTTGAAATACCTTGCTGGACTGTTAGTGAATGACAGTGTAAAGCATCCTGTAAAATCATGGCACCTGGTATACTGTCATTTTCAAGAAAAGTGGTATTTTTGTATCAATTTCCAACGCTGATCGGCCGATCAGCGTTGGAAAAAACTGGCTTTTTTTCAAATACTGGCCCCAGTTGACCATCGCACTTGTTTGCAATCGATTACACACCTATGAACGGGTACAAGCCAGCTAGACTGGTTCCCTGACCTTACAATTCCCCAATATATGTAAACTGCTCTGTTTCTTCTTAAATGGAGTCAGGGAACCAGACTACAGGAAAATGATTGTTTTTCTTGGTTTTTATAGCATTTTCGAACCCAAAACCTAAAAAAAGTCAGTGTAACTATATTTGCTATATATTTCCAACCCCCAATTCCATCCATTTCTGAAAATTACAGCAAAAGCAAATGATGTATATTCCCTTTAATAGCGAAAGTTGATAACAAGCAGGACAAGTTCTTATCAGAACTAAATATCTACTGAGCGACAGCAGTTATTACCACACGGTGTTACCGCAAACCGAAACGATACTGTACTCCACCATGCAAAGCCTCAAATCTTAGACCATGAACAGAAAATAAATGATGTAACCTGCCACAACAGGTTCCTTAATTGAATTTCCACAAATTTATGATACAGGGTGGAATAAAAAAAAGAAAGAATTATCAAGCTGGATTGATCAGCCAGATGTCACAGAACCGATGTGTATATATTCCGACACTGAACTGGCCTCACTCTGCAAGCCACTACCAGTAACTTGCCTGATTGTAAAGTTCGCATGAGTGAGCATTATTTCATCTCCAAACAAAGGCACCCCACTCAAACTACAGCGATGCATTAAAGCTGTGCATTCAAAATACCATGACAAAACTAATTACCAATCCAAGGATAATGCGCTCGGCTGAAACAAGTGCTTTGCTCTGTTTCCAATTAGCCAGTTAATTAAAAGAGAACCGGGTTTAATTATTGAGCGATGACTGGTCAAATACTGCGGCTCCTGGTGCCAAGGCCAAAGACGTTACTCATTAATAAAGAAAGTGATGTCATTTGTAGTGTGAGGAATGAAAGGAGGCAGCATATGTAAAACTGTTAAGATGAGGCAAAGATGACACAAAAAAGTTGCATGTGATTTTTATTTTGTGACACCAGTCTTTGGCTGATCGAAGGCTCACCCCGCGGGTAGGAGGGGGAGGGTGGGGGTGAGGAGAGGAACCAGGCGCCCCCTCCCCCATTTTTTGTTTGTACAGTGTTATATTCATGGATCTGTGACTACACTGGACTGCAAATATACACAATCCCAGTTTTTGTTGTTGTTTTCTACTTTGCCAATTCCTTAAAAAAAGAAAGAAAATGTCTGTGATGCAATTTTGGGGGAAACCTGTTGGATATTTATATAAGATGATCCAGTGCAGAGAAAACGACTTGAAACCATTTCAGGTTGAATTTTCTCTTTCTGGGGGGTTGTTTTTTGCATAGATTATAACGCTGAGATCATTTTACTTCCTCTTGCCTGGTTTGAACAACTAAAATACAACAGCAAACCTATTCCTGATAATCTTTATACATTGGACTAATAACCGATTATCAGATAATTTGCTTTTGCAAACTTCATATTTTCCTCTGAAAAAACCCCCAGCAACATTCATGTGGATTTTACAAATTTACTTTAAACAGTTCTGGAAAGATCTCAAGATCAGCTATAAAATACACAAAAACGTTTTGAGTACATTGAAAATTGCATCACATAGTAGGATTTGTTTTAATTTATTGTAAATTTACACAAGTAAAACCTGGGTTTTAATTAACATTTTGTATACAGGCAATTCTGATAGTAGTAAAAGCGCATATTCTTAAAAATGGGTTTTAATATGCAGACTAAGAAAATGTCATAGCACAGCTTGAAGAACCTATTCATAACCAGACGGAATATAATTGTATCGGTTTCTGATTATCTGTCCAACAATATGGCCATTTTCTAAATTTAGAAACTTGTTTTTCAATTTGAAACTGAGATCACCGGAGCCCTTTGTATTAAAATGTCTGTAACCAATTGTTAATTAATAAGTAATGTGAGACTCGTGACAGACTGAGCTGGTGTATCACAAAACCACTCACGCGGATAATTAAACTTTCTTGTTCTAAAGTTACTTCCCATATGTTCTCAAAATTAGCCAAACTCACCCCGATTTTCAAAGAAAGAGAAATCATAATATCCCTGATAATTAAAGATCAATTTCAGTTTTGTCATTAATAAGCAAAGTTTTTAATTTTATTTGATTAAATTTCATCAGTAATTAAAAAAGTATGGTAGGATCACTTTTATGGCTCTTGTACAAGTTTGGCAGAAGATGACCTTTAGATAATTTGATAATCATTTACACAAAGAAAATTAATCAAATGGGATTTCAACCTGCGACCATCCAAATACTGTATTAGTGCTCTACCGACTGAGCTATCCGACCCTATATGTTTGTCAATGGGGTGCTAGTCAGAAGCCATAAATCATTATATTGTATATGGCCAGGAATCTTGTCAAAAGTTATGTTGCTTGCAGTTTTTGCAATGCTGCAAACCTGGGATATAGCAGTATGAGGAAGCTTCAACTGAGACACTATCTCACTGACATGATGTACACTGTGAGATAGCACATCAACTATGTCCCTGACATAACGAGTGTGCTATAGACAGTTGAGTGGTTTAAAGGGAAAATACAACATTTGCAAACATCAAAAAATAAAACTAGCAAATCATTTTGAAATACCTTGCTGGACTGTTAGTGAATGACAGTGTAAAGCATCCTGTAAAATCATGGCACCTGGTATACTGTCATTTTCAAGAAAAGTGGTATTTTTGTATCAATTTCCAACGCTGATCGGCCAATCAGCGTTGGAAAAAACTGGCTTTTTTTTCAAATACTGGCCCCAGTTGACCATCGCACTTGTTTGCAATCGATTACACACCTATGAACGGGTACAAGCCAGCTAGACTGGTTCCCTGACCTTACAATTCCCCAATATATGTAAACTGCTCTGTTTCTTCTTAAATGGAGTCAGGGAACCAGACTACAGGAAAATGATTGTTTTTCTTGGTTTTTATAGCATTTTCGAACCCAAAACCTCAAAAAAGTCAGTGTAACTATATTTGCTATATATTTCCAACCCCCCAATTCCATCCATTTCTGAAAATTACAGCAAAAGCAAATGATGTATATTCCCTTTAATATGTTGAGGGTGCTATATACACTGCGAGTGGACAGCAGATCAACTATGTCCAGGGCATATGGAGCATACTATACACTGTGAGTGGATAGTATATCAATTATGTCCCATGTTGAGGGTGCTATACACTGTGAGTGGACAGCAGATCAACTATGTCCAGATCATATTGAGGGTGCTATACACTGTGAGTGGATAGTATTATCAATTATGTCCCATGTTGAGGGTGCTATACACTGTGAGTGGACAGCAGATATCAACTGTGTCCAGGGCATATGGAGCGTACTATACACTGTGAGTGGATAGTATTATCAATTATGTCCCATGTTGAGGGTGCTATACACTGTGAGTGGACAGCAGATATCAACTGTGTCCAGGGCATATGGAGCGTACTATACACTGTGAGTGGATAGTATATCAATTATGTCCCATGTTGAGGGTGCTATACACTGTAAGTGGACAGCAGATCAACTGTGTCCAGGGCATATTGAGGGTGCTATACACTATGAGTGGATAGTTTATCAATTATGTCCCATGTTGAGGGTGCTATACACTGTGAGTGGACAGCAGATATTAACCATGTCCAGGGCATATGGAGCGTACTATACACTGTGAGTGGATAGTATATCAATTATGTCCCATGTTGAGGGTGCTATACACTGTAAGTGGACAGCAGATCAACTGTGTCCAGGGCATATTGAGGGTGCTATACACTATGAGTGGATAGTATATCAATTATGTCCCATATTGAGGGTGCTATACACTGTGAGTGCACAACATATCAGTTATAACCCACGTATGTTGAGGGTGCTATACACAGTGAGAGGACAGCATATAAACTATGTCCAGGGCATACTGAGGGTGCTATACACTTTGAGTGGTTGGCATACCAACTATGTCCCATATTGAGGGTGCTATACACTGTGAGTGGATAGCATATCAACTATGTCCCATATTGAGGGTGCTATACACTGTGAGTGGATAGCATACCAATATGTCCCATATTGAGGGTGCTATACACTGTGAGTGGATAGCATACCAACTATGTCCCATATTGAGGGTGCTATACACTGTGAGTGGATAGCATATCAACTATGTCCAGGGCATATTGAGGGTGCTATACACTGCGAGTGGACAGCATATAAACTATGTCCCATATTGAGGGTGCTATACACTTTGAGTGGATAGCATACCAACTATGTCCCATATTGAGGGTGCTATACACTGTGAGTGGATAGCATATTAACTAGAGGTGTACATTGGAACTTGATACTTGAGCACCCTACATCTGCTGATGTCAGGAACCAGTTCCAGATTATGGGATTGGGTACCCTTTACCAACTTTACAAATTACTTTGAAACTTCTCATACAATTTTAAAAAGGAAAAGGTTTTGAATGCCATGTGTGGGGAATTTCCAAAATGAAAACCAGGCTGCATGGAAAACCAAAAGAGATTTCACGTTTATGTGCATTTTAACGCATGACAGCCGACGCCCGCAATAGTTGCAGTTTACAACGTAAAGCTATACAAAGCCCTTCAGACAACTTCCAGGATTTGAATTTTCGGGTTGGGTTTCTTTTAGGGGTACCTGGGTAACTTTGTTTTACTTCAATAGGGTAAGCCTGCCCGAGTTCTTGTACTACCCATAAATACACACCACTTGCATGTCCAGTACAAAATAATTCCAGTACAGCATTATGAAATTCTATGAATACAAATTGGTTATTTACTGTGATAGGTCTTACCACACTATCCATTTTGTGTTCATTGTTTGGCGTGTAACAAAAGGCCTATGTGTAAGGACACAATACTGGTGAACAAAAGTGGGACATGGGGATCAAAAATAAAATTGGTTGTATTTATTTTGTTTCCCTTTCATAATGCTCAACCGGCCTTCCCTCAATAGAAAAGAATAATGAGAAGATAAGTTTTAAAGCATCTTTCCTTTACTAGCAGCTTTATATTGGTGATAGGGAGAAAGTTAATGTTAGTTACATGGTGTCCACTTCCTGCTTGTAACCAGACCATAAATGGCAGAAATGGAGATAATGATAGTTTCTTTATTGCAATATAATCTATTCATTGCTGAAAATGTAAAATTTAGACGATTTCTTTTTTTATATAATAATTTGTTGCAAATTTAAAGGAAAAATACAACATTTGCAAACATCAAAAAATAAAACTACCAAATCATTTTTGAAATACCTTGCTGGACAGTTAGTGAATGACAGTGTAAAGCATCCTGTAAAATCGTGGCACCTGGTATACTGTCATTTTCAAGAAAAGTGGTATTTTTGTATCAATTTCCAACACTGGTCGACCAACCAGCGTTGGAAAACACTGGCCTTTTTTCATATACTGGCCCCAATTGACCATCGCACTTGTTTGCAATCGATTACACACCTATGAACGGGTACAAGCCAGCTAGACTGGTTCCCTGACCTTACAATTCCCCAATGTACGTAAACTGCTCTGTTTCTTCTAATATGGAGTCAGGGAACCAGACTACAGGAAAATGATTGTTTTTCTTGGTTTTTATAGCATTTTCGAACCCAAAACCTTAAAAAAGTCAGTGTAACTATATTTGCTATATATTTCCAACCCCCCAATTCCATCCATTTCTGAAAATTACATCAAAAGCAAATGATGTATATTCCCTTTAACAAGTGTGCACAGTAACTAACATTTAATAAAATGAGAGATTTAGCTGTTAAACCATTTTAGTAGCAGATCAATTGAAGATTTTATGACAACAGTGTCTCACAGTAAGTACCCCAGATGGAAATTCATCCATTAAAAATTATATTCCTGTGACGATCTTATATGGACCTCTTTTGACAATCTCTGTATCAAAATGTTACGCAAGTTACATGTGGACACCACAGAGGCCTTCATTTACACGCAAAGGTTTTGTGGTTTTCGGAACAGATAAACATGCAACGAGCGAGGCCGGAAATATCTGTCTGCGTCCCGCTCACAGCGAGCGAGGCCGGAAATATCTGGGTGTGCTACCCGCAGATGACGGCCTGAACCTGTCTGGCATCGAGGTTTGTGAAAAACAATCCCGCGTCTTGATCCGGTCAATGTCAAAATAATCCTGGTGCGAAGTGGTTAAGTAACATTAACAAATTAACCGACTGTCCTTGATAAACCACCACTCTGTTTAACATTCAATTGCATCCTTGAACAGATAGGGTTGGAAAGCAAATAAAATGTTGGTTTTTTTTAGTCATCATCATCATCTTCACCCCTATTGACTCGCAGGTTATTGGTACGAACCAGCTTGAGGCTAGGGCAGCCGTGCATGCGATTGGCACCTTCCACTGTGACACAGGTAGAGTCCAGATTCAGGAGGGACAGGTGGGGCAACTGCACGGCCTCAATGCCTAGAAAAAATAGCAAAAGGAAAAATTACTGTTCACTACCAAAACATTACCATAGAGATCATTCTATGCAACACATGGTAGGAAGACAGTCAACAACATGAGCGATCCATTTACACATGGTCTCAGCATTTATATATATTTTTTTGTCACATGCAAAGTTGAAATCTTTATGTTTGTAAAACAAACAGTTTTATTTGTGTTGGTCCGTTTCCATATTTAATACCTCTTTTGGGTTTCTCCTTCCAACCCTGCATGCTTGTAAGTCCCTACATGTTTGTTTCTTGTACCTGGGTCATTTTGCCTCTGAAGCAGATCTTGTTAAGATTGAAACATCAGATTTATATGTGTGATGCAATCAAGTTAAATGAGTCGTTTGTCGACCCTGGTAATTTTTTTGTTCACAGATTAGAAAAGATCACAATCTCAGCATTACTGCTGTGAAAACCGCATGCTGATACCATCTTTAGTTCAAAAATTACGGAAGTCGGAACACCTTGAAGAGATGTGATGAAGTGGTCCCATTTTGGCCTGAATCTCCAAAAGAAAATTCCCAACAAACACTCATTTAGCTTCATTGCATCACATATGTGTTCGATCATCACAGGTGAAGACGACCACTGTAGTCATCCTGTTGATAGGATGAAGTAGTTCTATATGTATGGAGATGGCTGATAAGGCCGATGCGGGCCTGGAAGGATTCTGTACAATGTAGACAAGGGATTATGGCCGCAGCAGAGAGAGGGTTGCTGGCACAAGCTTTCCTGGCCTTTCTCCGATTTTTGTTGCCGCCGTTTATATAATGCATATGTGATTGGGTAGTAATGCACCTAAACAATGCAGAACTGGTAATTTACTGTAGAATATCTAACACTGTCTAAAGAATGTCAAAAAATGGAACCATTTTGAGGTTTTTTTTTCTTAACCAGTTTGCGCCGGGATTATTTTGGAAAGAACGGAACGAAGCGGGATTATTTTTCACTCGACCTCAAGCCAGGCGGGTTGAAGCCATCACCCTCGGGCAGCACACTCATATTTCCGGCCTCGCTCGCTGAGAGCGCCTCGCTGACAGATATTTCCAGCCTCGCTTCCTAACTGTTTATCCGCCATCCGTTCCGAATACCACAAAGCTTTTGCGTGTATACACGTCATCCGGCGGGAACTGGTTAAGCCTAAACTTGACAAGGATACTAGCAACAGGGCATCATGGCCTGCACTTATTAACTCAAAAGGGCGCTGTGAAGCCTGAACAAGTGAAGGACACCGACATTCACTGGTTCACATCTGTTTACACATAATGCCACAAGAATGCCTACCAGGGAAAGCAAGGTTTTGTCAAGCGATGGGAGCAGAGCAGACTAGATTCTCTACCGTTTGATTGCTTACCTCTGTTAGACACATCAGTTTTGCTCAGGTTCAGTCTTGTCAGATGCTCACACTTATTCAGAGTCTCAGAACGAAGAAACCTATTCTTAATCCTGCAGAGAGAAAGAAATGCATGACAGTAAAATGTTGAAAGGTACATAGTATCATTTGCTCTGTAGGGGTACTTCATTTTAAAGGTACAGTCCGTCATGGTAGTTTTTGCATTTTGTTCGTTTGAAGCAACAAAAGTGCTCAAAATCTAAAGAAGGGTACTGAACAACTAACCTGTATATTCAGCTGTATATTCTGAGAAAAACAGCATTGTAGGTTCTCGATTTCAAATCAAAAGTTGATGAATCGTGTTTTTAATTGGGCCTGAATTCAGCGTCTGAGACACGTTCTCACTGAGCCGATTGCAGCTTCGCAATGTCGCGCACCGATTCGACGACTTATAGCAACCGCACATGCGTGTGCGTCATGTCAAGTCTTTAGACCCACCGTTGGAAAGGCCTTCTTTTGCTGATTTCTTCAAAATGACAGCTTGCCAGAAAGAATAATATCACAGGGAGTTTAGAGCCCTTACTATCTTTCAACAAAGTATGTTTTTCAACAATCATTACGTCAACTACTTTTTGGATGGCTGCAAATGATGGACTGCAGCTTTAAAGCAGCAACATTGCTCAAAATCTTAAAGGCAATACACAACATTTGCAAACATCCAAGAACAAAACTACCAAATTATTATGAGGTGTGTTTTCAGGTATTACCAGGATAACCCACAAGATCATGAGTTCAATGTTCCACATAACCCCTACATCATTTCCTTACTGTGTGGCTGCCATGCTGAGCACCTCCAGCTTTCTGAAGCTGCCGATGGCCATAGCTCCATGGTCCGTGACGGCTGTACGGTCCAAATGAAGCTCCTTCAACTCAACCAACCCTGCCCAAAAGCACAAATGTTATAAATTATCAGCATCAATCAATAACCATACACTATCATGTGGTCCAGCGGTATTTTATCTAACTCCAGGGCCCAATTTCATAGCGCAATTTTTGGCTATTCATGGAGACCATAAGCAGTCAGCATAGCACAGCTCAGTTCAGTTCAATTTCAGTTTATTTCCACAGTACCAAAATATCAATGACAATGACAATGAAATCCTTATAGAGAATAGCAGAAAAAACATTTTGAATAAAGTCGAAGATAAGCAAACAATAAGTATGAAAGGTTCTGTGGAGGGGCCCATAAAGAAGCAAAGTAGTGAGAAATGGGCATCTGAGCATGCATGTGCATTGAGCCGAATAATGACAGTTTTTTTTATTAGTTTGTTTGTTTTGTTTAGCTTTGGAAGAAAACAATTGCACAAGAAAACAAGTGTGCAAGTAAACGAGTGCAAGAAAATGAATACCCGTAATCGGACCTGTACATCGGAATGTGAATGACCAGGCTCAATGCACGTGCACCATGAAAATTATACACGAAATACTGTTAACCTTAAAACGGACGGGAACAAACAAATATGACTGATACGACTACGACAACCACAGGTCAGCAATGTACAGGTATATAAACAAATTGAAACCGCAACAGCAAAAGGCACGCTTACCCCAAAGGAAAAAGTCGGTTAAATCAGTGATGTAACAGCTGAAATGACCATGCGCTTAACTGTTAACACATCCACTATGAAATAGTGCTTAGGGTTCGCACAATTTCCAACTATAGTTTGCGCAACTTTTCTGCTAACTGCTAAGGGGTGCCATGAAATCGGCCCCTGGTGAAACACCATCATGAAAGTTTAGTTGCACTTTGAGAAACTTGTGTTGAAATTTTGGGGTGGGAATATGTCAATTTTGATATCGGGTATGGACTCCAAGAATGGATAGTAGAGGGCGCTTTGAGACCACTTTCAAGAGGCCCTGTGGAAGGAACACTCTGTGCATGTACTTGTTGGTGCACATACATGTAATAATAATATTAATAACGAAGTCTTATATAGCGCACGTATCTACCAACAATTAGGTACTGAAGGCGCTGGAAATTATGCCAATTATTAAAGAAAGGTAAAATAAAGTTTATGAGAAATATGAGACCCATTATGTAGCACCTTATAATGGTTTACAAGGTGCTGCGGCGCACATCGCAGCCACTGCCAGAAACACCGGGGCAAACCCCTTCTCTTAGCGATAAGTGTTACTGGGTTCTTTAACGTGCATTACACAACACACGGGACCTACGGCTTTACGTCCCATCCGAAGGACGAAGCAATAATGGTAAAGTGCCTTGCTCAAGAGCACAAGCACCATGTTCCCACGGTCAGGATTCAAACCCATGCACCACGGCACACGAGTGGAACACCGTAACCATTGGACCACAGCGCCCCACATGTATGGTGCCAAGTATTTGCAGCCCAATTCATTCTGAATGTGCACAAACCCATAGCGTCTCTGCGCGAGTGTCAGCTGTCATCAACAACGCATTCTTAATGTCCCTCCCAGTGGTCTCCTGCAACCTCCCTTTGTCGTTGTTGGGGGGGGGGGTATCATGCATCAAGTCCATATCACTCCACATTATTTTAGAAGTGTGGTATACTCAGTGCTTTCTGTGAGCTTGTGAGAACAAAAACACACAAGCTTCAATACTCAGGAGGGCCTTGAAAGCAGGTACCAGTTTAAACCCACTGCTACAGCAGCCAGAGTTGTACCGAGTCAGTGATTTTTGTGACTCCAGTCGAGTCGAGTCATTTTAAAGAAGTGACTCGAGTCGAGTCGAGTCGAGTCAGTGATTTTTGTGACTCCAGTCAAGTCGAGTCATTTTAAAAAGGTGACTCGAGTCAAGTCGAGTCATTAGTTCAAGATGGTCGAGTCGAGTCGAGTAGAGTCACAGTGTGTAGTCGAGTCGAGTCGAGTTGAGTCAAGTATTTAGCTCGAGTCAATTCGAGTCACAAATATTTGAGAACTATACAATAAATAATCACAAGATAGAAAAGCATTTTTTGGCGACACCACATTTGCCTCTTAATGAAAATAAAAAGGGGATGCCAGCTGATCGCCATTCAACTAACGGGGACACTGATCAAACCATGTATGTATATGTATACATTAGTCGCGAACAATCTAACGTGACATGAACAAAAACCGGCACCGGCGTAAGTCATTGCAAATATTTTTCGCAAAGTTTTGCTTTTATTTTTGGGACTTGAGTCTCATTAGCCTTCCTCGAGTCGAGTCATTCTGATTAGGGACTCGAGTCGAGTCGAGTCATTTGCTCGCAGTGACTCGAGTCGAGTCGAGTCATTTGCCCTTAGGGATTCGAGTCGAGTTGGGTCACCAAAAATTGTGACTCGAGTCGGACTCGAGTCGAGTCATTGACTCGAGTCATTACAACTCTGACAGCAGCAAGAACGACCCCATAGCAAAGCTGACTGATAGAACAACGGAGCAATGCCACAGGAACAGAGGAAAACATCGATGTGCTGAAACAGGACACAGGGCGAGAAGCATCGGATTTGGGGACAGCTATGTGGGACAGAAGACTCTGGCATACAGTTGTGACCAAGGATGACAACCTGGACTAAGCAAGCAAGTCTAAAATCCCTATGATGGCTAGTGGTGGTACATGTAGCTGGTCACCACCTGGACTCAAAATCAGTCTTGACAGTGTCTTTGGAGAAGACTAATGAGTCATCCTACCTTTGATATATTCCAGAGCCACGTCCGTGATCTTGGTATTGTTGAGAGACAACTTGGTCAGACTGCAGTGAGAAATTAAGTGAAGAAAAGAGAAATAAAAAAGACAGGATGTAGCAGGATATACAGTGATGATGACAACAAATGAGTTATTCTAAATCTCACCCCAATTTTTTTGTCAGTCAAAAATAATTCATAAAAGACATCAGACAAATTTGAAAGGAGCACATTTCAATTTTAAGTGATTATAAATGTGTACCCTGTGATTAATTTATGATAAGGGAGAGAGAGTTAAACTTTGCTCGTACCCCCCGCCCTGCAAACAGGACGCTGGGGTACTCTGATGAATTTATGCTCTGATTGGTTGGATTTTGTGTGACCTGTGACCTGCGCGTCATCACGGTCATGACTCTGCAAGGTTTGAAACGGCCGTTAAGACTGGTTCATTACTCTTTTATTCCAGTTAAGAGATGTTTTTTATTCGTTGAAAAGCGTAATAATGTAGGAAATTCTGTAAAACCTCTCTGTGTTGAAAATTTACAATTCCTGTCACTTGCTCAGGCTCCGTTTTCAAATCACGAACAGTCGGATTGCATCATGCGACGCTCAAAATTGTGTCCACATGATCCGCAATGAAGCAGAAATCACATCTGGTATGGAACGTGTGAATTTCTATGGGAAGTTTTCGGATAGCATTTGCGCACATTGTCTAACTGCGGTCTTGAACAGCTGCAGCCAGATGCTTTATACATAGGTCATAGGCCACTTCCTTCACAAGATTCTGTGAAGCTCATCAGAGTATCCCAGCGTCCTGTTTGCAGGGCGGGGGGGGGGGGGGGGGGGGGGGTTCGAGCGAAGAGTAAAACTAGACACCAAAACTACACATAACAGTATGTATATCAATTCTGTGCTATCATGCTGACTTTCAAATCCTTTCACAAACTTAGATGGCATAGTTTGAGCACTTCCATTTTGCTCAAACAAATCTTCGGTCGCACCATGAAGTGACGTATCATGTGCACAGAGTCCATAGCCAATACGTCATTTCGTGGTGCACCCGACAAAAGATGTGGTTCAATAGTTATGGTGTTAATATGTTAGGCCATCAGCCTGGGGGTTTGGTCAGTATCAAATCAGGGCATGAATGATTATAGTGCGCATGCGCAAGGTATACCGCCCCTAGAGTGGTAACAAGCATTTTGATGGATATTTTGAAAAAAGGGTGACAACACTATTTTTCAACTCTGGAGGTGTATACATTGCCAAAAAAAGCTATGACGATTACTCCCCTCATTTGATACCGGTTGCCAAAATTTGGACAGAGGCTGGTGGCCTACGTAAGTCCCAACATGAAAGCGAACACGATGCTTATGTCCTTTGGCAAGACACTTTATTGCATACAACTGCCTTTCTCCACCCAGGAGAATAAAGACGGTACGGGTGAGGATAGCGACCAGAATGCGCGGATCTTGTGCTGCCCCAGATAAAACTGATTAAAGCTATAGTCCATCATTTGTAATTAGTGCCTTTTTTTTCGTGTGAAGCAACAAAAGTGTTTAAAATCTAATGAAGGATACTGAGCAACTAACCTGATGAAGTTTCAGCTAAGCTTCAGCTGTACATTCCGAGAAAAGCAGCATTCTAAGATCTCAATTTCAAACCAAAAGTTACTGAATCATGTTTTGAATTGTTTTGAATTGCAGCTATACGCGGAGTCGCGCACTGATCCGACGAATTATAACAACCGTGCGCGCGTGTGCGTCGTTCCAATACTTGTGCGCGCTGCGCTGAATAACAAAACAAACTATTAATTTAAATTTTCCTATGGTGCTTCTTAAGAATCACCGTTGGAAATGCCTTCTTTCGTTGATTACTTCAAAATGACAGCTTCCCAGAAAGAATAATTTCACAGGGAGTTTATTTCCCTTACTATCTTTCAACTAAGTTTGTTTTTCAACAGTAATTACGCCAGTTACTTTTCGGGTGGCTGCAAATGATGGACTATAGCTTTAACAAAGGCAATAATTAGTGCATCCTTTGGCAAAGTCGCCTTATAAATACCATTCATAAATACCTCAGACAGTTGAGCTATTCCTATTGGTCGAGAGCCCGTCACGTGGCCCGTCTTAAACAGATGATAAAGACATGGCTGGCTGGTCTTAAACACTTTTCCAGTGTCAAAATAAAATGTGGACTCCTAAAAATCCAGTGCCTCTTACCGTTTCACTGGTTGAACGTAAGCAATCGTCACGTAGGCATGCGCAACACTACCAGCGAGTCAGAATTTTATAGTTCTAAATTCAAAACGCAACGCCCCAGGTGCGTTGTGCGCGACATCGCGCAGAACATGCTACGCGCACGCGTGTTTACATTTTACTCGCCAGCTGAACACTCCATTATTTTGCTAAAGGGATGTTTCAAAAAGCATGAAGTGAACTTGTTGAACAAAATCGGGATTTTTTGAACAAATTATTTGATTTTTTTTACCGAAAAGGTATTTATGAATGGGAATAAATATGTGCTCGGTCGGTATTTATCACTTTGTTTAAGACCACTTAGAGTCTGGGTGCTGATAATTACCCTCGCCTCCGGCTTGGGTAATTATCAGCACCCAGACTCTAGGTGGTCTTAAACAGAGTGATAAAAACCTCCGAAGCACACATTTATTCCCTTAATTATACTTATTAATATTTCATCCTTTCTATTTTACCCTTTCTCTAATATTCGGTCTTTTATGACCTAACGTATCAGAGAGTGAACGGCCATGTGCTTATACCTGGTCATATCAGCGATGTGATGGATGCCTTGATCTGTAATGTGAATGTAGTCAGTCAGATCCAATGCGACCAGCGGCATGCCTGCAAGAAGAAAATACATCATGTCCAACCTGCTAAATATAATCCGATCTTGGGAACTTTGGCACCAGGACCCGGGAAATTCCACGCATACCTTGCATGCACTGTATCCAAGCCCATGCACCCCCTTAAGGCATGTTTGGAATTACTTTAGTTTAGTGTCAAAGTTTTGTTTTGTGGATTTGTTTCATCTTGTTGATAGCTCTATCTACCTCCGCAGTTACTTTGGTGCGCTTGCCAGGGACTAGTCTATGGAATATCTCCTTGCACAGCAAGGGTCTATGATACGCGAGCAGATTCGGCGATTAATTATGCAAAACAAGACAGCATCTTGACCTCTAAATTTTGACCATTCACCAGTGGGTGCCTTCAATCGGGTCTTCCGTAACCCGTTGACGTATTAAAAAAAAACATGGCATCCAAATTGACCAATCAACAGCTCAGTCCACATTTCTGATCAAATGACGTTAAAGCCTCTATAGGCCACTGTGATTGGCTGGCATGCGGGGTTTCCTTAAAATTTACATGCTATGATACAGAGATGCCACAGGGTCTGCTTGAAAAAAACGGAACTGGGTCTGCTTGAAAAAAACCGGAACGGCTGCTTGAAAAAACCAGACTTTTGTGTGTGTGAAAAAGCCACTCCGTGTCCGACACAAAGTCCCCGCTGTCATCTTTATCTTGTAGCCAAGCCAAGTTCTGTTTATTTTTTTTAATTTTGCTTCTATGGCCTTGAAAGCTGTCGGTTCGTTCAATCACTTTGACTTTTGCCATCCTAATATTTATTCTGCCTACCCGAATTTCCAACGTAATATTCGACACGAGACATGCATGATTCCACAACACTGCTGTCGGTGTACATGATCCTTGCACTACGCGATGCGCTCAACGAAAACATGGTTGGTACCCGCATTTTTTGTATTCACATATATCACTGCGATCGGAAACCACCGATAGCTGAAATGATAGACTTGATTTCCAGGCTGAATGCTACGTGTGCTTAGCACACAACACGCCCGCACGCGGTGAAGCACGCGCGAGGCGCCGTTGTATACTGTGTGCAATTAAGTACGTTGGCCGTTTGTATCGCATGCAGGCTCGGCAACAACATACACAAAGACTGTTTTTAAGACTACTTCAACGAACAACGTTGTGCCATGCGTGCGCCTAAATGAACTAAATCGAGGTAAAAATCAACGCATTTCCACAGTTTTTCTTCTCTTTTTCTGGTTAATTTGACGGCCGGAAAAACCGGAATTTTGTGAGATTTTTTTTAAAAACCGGAATTCCGGTTAAAACCGGAAAAGTGGCATCTCTGATGATATATCAGACGTTCAAGCTTGACTTTGCCCACGTGAATGTCTGATCCTCAGACTAGACAGGGACCGGCCCAGGGAACTAAGGCGAGGCGTCATAAATAAATTAACCGTTCGAACGCGTGCGCACGCTAGGAACGGGGCCTTTTGTTACATCTACCTCCCGTTCGCACGCGTGCTCACGGCATCCCGTTCCGAACGCGTTCTTATACAACAAAAGGCCAGTCACGGTCTGTGCACACACGAAGAGCTCATCGGCACTAAAAGTATCCGACAAACTTTCTCGTCGCTACAGGCTAGCCCGTACAGTACAGGGGGGACGTATAAAAATACGGGCACCTTGAACGGGGAAAGCAGTCCTTTGCAATATTTGTTTAACCCTTCCAATCTCCGCATTTTTAATATAACCTAGACCATACATATTTTTTTCGCCCCGCCCAGCGGCAGACAACGATATTTAAGGATAAAAAGGCATAAATCTTATCAAACTCCTCATACCTGCTCGTGCTGTCTAAACTCTGAAATGTTTTTTTTATTTAATGCTTGCTCCGATATCGGGTTTTCAAATTCCAAATCTGATTTAAATTCCAAACCAAAACGGATTTTTTTTTCTGTACAAGTATATACACATAGTTGTTCTTCGCATCTTTGTTGTGCTGCTCCCGTTCTCGCACGCAAAGGAACGGTTGATTAACATAACAATACCCCCTCAGTGAAGCTTGCCCAAGCACGATCTACGGAACGCGTTCTAAAAGCCGTTCGGCACGGGAAGGAACGGGGGCCGTTCAGAACGGGAAGGAACGCGTGCGCACGCGTGCGAACGGTTAATTTATTTATGACGCCTCGCCTAAATCCACATGAGCTTGCAAGTTACCAGCAATGCAGCACAAGCCCATGTTGGTTGTCGTGTGTCTGTCTGGCATCTGAAGCTGCTTTAGTTCCAGGCCTGTAATTGAAAAAGAAAAGTTGGAGTAAATAGACTAGAGTCATTTTTCACTGCTCTCTGGAGTTGGCGACTCAAGTCAGTGAGTCACGCTTGAGTAAAAACTTACAACTTGATTTGAGACTGTGTTGAATCGAATTGAGACTCAACTTGAGACTTGAAATTGACTTGGAACCAACTTCAGCTGGTCCCTTGCATACCCTTCAAATGGTGCATGCATTACGACCAATAACTGGTCCTCTAGATTCTTTGCAGATGGCGCAAGGGTTACCACCTCATTCTGGTCCCCTGCAAACTTTTCAGATGGTGAATTGGTTAACATCCATAGTTGGTCCTCTGTATTCCATGCATATGATGCATGGGTTATAATCTATGACTGGTTCCCAGCATTCATTACAGATGGTGCACGGGTTACCATCCATAACCGGTCCCATGCACACTTTGCAGATGGTACATTTGTTACCATCTGTAACTGGTCCTCAGCATATCTTAGAGATGGTACATGGGTTACCAACTATAACTGGTCCCCTGTATACCTTACAGATGGTGCATAGACAACCATCTGTAACTGGTCCCCCGCATTCTTTGAGGATAGGTGCATGGGTTACCACCGATAGCTGGTCCCCTGCCTACCTTGCAGATGGTGCAGTACATCATCTCCAGTCATGCCTTCTATCAGCATCACGTTGAGAGCCGTGAGTTCAGGCAGTCGACTCAGTCGGTCCAGAGCCTGAAGGGTGATGCGGTTCCTGGCAATGTTGAGAGAACGCAGACTGACAAGGGCCTCAATACCGTCCAGTTGGGATACCTTGGGCAAATAAAGTGGTACAAAATATTAAACAAGTTTTACAAATCAAATTAGGTTTTGCCCTTCACTAATGTATAAACACTGTATACTCAGTGTGTTACCTCCTGAGTGAAAGTTGGAAAAAAATCACTCGGGTGGGACTCAAACCCACGACCTCCTGCTTTCTAGTGCAGACGTCCCACCAGGTCCCACACACAGTGTTTATACGTGTACATCGGTGAAGGGCAAATCCTAAGTTGATTTACATCACCCCAACGCAAAATTCCATCTGATGGACAACTTTTACAACATAGACTGAGCAAAAACTTTTCCTTTTCCAATGTAGACAGGTGCAGTCTTTGCTGGTCCTAGAGTGTCTTCTTTGTACCTTTGTGACTGACTGACTCCCCGACTATCACTTGTGATCCGGGCAGTGCTATCATATAGGATTACCTCATAATGCCAATGAATGGGCTACAACCATGGGCGTCAATCCTGGGGGGGGGGGGGGGGGGGGGGGGACAGGGGGACATGTCCCCCCCCCCACACACTTTTTGATGGGTGGGGGACACAATATCAAATGTCCCCCCAGATTTTTGAACTCGTGCCTCCTTTACATGGCCCTATTATGTACTACAATGTATCTTTTGCTAAGAAAATATTGGTTAAAGTGGTCAGAAATTGCCTCAGATCGCACCACAGAGCATTTAGAATCCAAAATTTTTCGGGGCCCTCAGGCCCCGAACCCCACGTCTTTAGCCGGGAATATAATAGCTTATTCAGTGACTTCAACCTCGAAAATGATTTTTAAATTATTATCTTTTGCTGAAAAATATTGGTCAAAGTGGTCAGAAATTGCCTCAGATCGCACTACAGAGCATCTAGAATCAATTTTTTTCGGGGCCCTTTTAAGCGGGCCTTGAACCCCACGCCTTTAGCTGAGAATATAATAGCTTATTCAATGACTTCAATCTCAAAAATGATGTTTAAATCGTCATCTTTTGCTCAGAAAATATTGGTTAAAGCGGTCAGAAATTGCCTCAGATCACACCACATGAGCATCTAGAATCCGAATTTTTTTCGGGGCCCTTAAGCGGGCCCCGAACCCCATGCTGTAAGTGCTTCGCACTTCGCGCTCGCATTATTTCTGATCAAGGTATGTCCCCCCCCCCCACTTTTGAGAAGCGATTGACGCCCCTGGCTACAACCATCCGATTGTGTAGACCAGATGCATTGAAGGACTTCCTCTGAATAGCCATTCTGAATCAACTGAATAGAATTGTGTGCACTCTTGGACCAGCTCTTCTAGACTTGCCTAGTCTTGTTGTAAAATTCCGACCGAAAAAAACAGAAAAGAATTCAGAGTTGGACGGTTCATCCTCAAGACTTTTTCCGTCCTTTAACTATATTTCTCTATAACCTCCTCAACCCCATCAAAATCCATCCCCCCCCCCCCCCTTTTTGGTGGATTTCGGGGAACTTGGTCCTGCAGGCCTGGTGTGACTAAATGTTGATGGAGTATGATGGACTTGGGCCTGGAGGCCTAAAGGGAAGCATGTATTGGAAGCAATGTGATTGATGGTTTTTGGTGGATTTGGTCCAGTGCTTAGTAAAATACAGTAGGGAGTTGGGTTAAAACAAAAACACAACTGCTCAGTCAACTTGTTCTTCAAGTGCACTCGAAGTCAGCGAAGGAATTCAGCACCCTTCGTGTGACAGCTAAAACAACAAACTTTGTTAGTTGATGTTTTCCCAGCAGTTTGTGTTGGGCACCGAGTCTACAACTCACCTTTGTCTGCTCCAGGCCAAGGCTTCTCAAATTTGTGAAAACTGCAAGAGAAACACAATGATCAATTAGAAACTACGATTGGAATAAACTTCTCAGTAAAAAAATACATGATGCAATAACAAGCCGGTTGCATACATACATTTCATGTCAAGTTTAGGAATCTTAACTTTGAGATAAAGACAGTAAATAAAACACACATCGAAGGTGACATTGGGGGACAATGAAAAATCCATGAAATTATCGACAGAGGGTTTGAGGGCTACTGAGGTTCCCAGAACGTAGGGTCTATGGAACAAAGGCACACTTTATAATACCCAATTCTTTTGTTGTATAAAAACTTTTAAATTCCAGACATCAAACAGGATTCTTTAAATATCCAGAAATTAGGAGAAATCCTAACAAAAATTTCCGAAATCAGGAAAAACCTGACAAAAAGTCCTGAAATTGGGAAAAATCCTGCAAAAAATCTCACCCCTGCACACACAGGTCTAAGGGCGCAACTGAAACTGCAATGTTCAAATTTCCTAAATTTACAAAATACAAAATTACTGCTAAACATGTTTTTTTGGAATTCCATTGGTACTGCTACAACTCTGGATCATTCTGAATTCTTCTCATCACTTTGCAATGACAAGACAGTTTTGTAAAACGTGAATTTGAAATTCTGATTTGGCTTAAATACTTCTTTTCGGAATAATATATGCAGGATTAATAGTTTCAGCAGTTTCATACTTGTAATTTGTGCAAATGTTTAGGAGGGTTTCAGTTTCGAAGTCGCAGTCGAAAAAAAGGCGACACGTCAACACCAACATCTTATACATGCACCAATATTGAAATTCTTTTCAGAAAACAAAAATATGTTTGATCTTTTGACAGAAAAACTGCAATACCTGTGAGGAAAGGAAGCATGCTGTCTGACACGTTTGTTCTGTTGAGACTGAGATGTGTTAGTTGACTCATTGATGGTGATGAGGCTAGCACCTTGACTCCTTCATCACTCACCGAAGTCTCCTCCAATGCTAACGTCACCAGGTTTGACAAATCTGGAATGGATTTGTTTTCAACAATGTTAAATAATGCACTAAAGTAGCACAATATTACAATGGTAGCAAACACACCGTTCCTTTTATTATTTCAATTAAAGGTAATATCCATTATTTGCTTTTGCTGTAATTTTCAGAAATGGATGGATTTGGGGTTTAGTATTTTATGGCAAATAATGTTCCACTGACCTATGTAAGGTTTTGTGTTTGTAGATGCTGGAAAAACCAAGAAAAAAATGTTGTGGTTGTAGTCTGGTTCTCCAACCCTACTTCAGATGAATCGGAGCAATTATAGACATCGGAGAATTGTCAGGTCAGGGAACCAGACTAGCTGGCTTGCACCCGTTCACGGATGTGTACCCGTATGCAAACAAAACGTGGACTGACTCAATTTGGGAAATTGGGGTAGTATCTCTTCTACTGATTGTCGGCCGACCTTCGTTGGAAATTGATACAAAAATTCCACTTTTCTTAAAGGGAAGATACAACATTTGCAAACATCACAAAACAAAATGATCAAATTATCACAAAATACCTTACTGGATTGTTAGGGAATAACAGTCTAAAGCATCCTGTAAAATCGTGGCTCCTAGTGTGCTGACATTTTCAAGAAAATGGTATTTTTGTAGCAATTTCCAACGCTGATCGGACGACCAGCGTTGGAGAAAACTGGCTTTTTTTTCCAAAACTGCTCCAAATTTTTCATAATTAGTTATTCCTCGTTTTCTTTGCAATTGATTACACAACTGTGAAGAGGTACAAGCCTGCTAGACTGATTCTCTGATCTTACAGTTCCCCAAAGTCTATAAATTGCTCTGTTTCATCTTAAGTGGGGTCAGGGAACCAGACTACAAGAAAATGATTGGTTTTCTTGGTTTTTCCAGCATCTACAAGCCCAAAACGTGAAACAAGTCATTTTAACAATATTTGCTATAACATGCTAATCCTCCAAATCCATTTGTTTCTGAAAACTGCAGCAAAGGCAAATGTTGTACATTCCCGTTAAAAACGACAGCACATCATCTTTCCTCTTTGGTTCTCTTGACTGGTTCAATTCCTGTCAGAGTCATCGTGTGCTAGAGTTCTTCAGTCCAGTTACCTGACTGTGTTAGTTTGGACCGATGTTCTTAGGGATTTTCCTCTCACGTCAAAAAATTTAATTTCAAGAATCTGAGAGAAACCAATACTGATGCACTGAACGGGTGTACATGATAACAAGAATCAACGAGATAACATAAATGACAGAAAGATCACATACCTTTGATTGAGTATAGAATACCATCTGTGAGTTGTTTGTTATTGCTTACGTTCAGATACTGAAGCTTCTTCAGACCTACAGGAGGGAAGAAGAGTGACCAACAGAACCAGTAAGAACTGAACTAGTAAGAACTGTTTGAAATCTATCTTACAGACTCAGACAATTGACTTCATGCAATTTTGTAGGGGAAAAAAGATAGCTGCGGACAAAACTGGTAACCATGGTAACTAATGTCAAAGAAATCCTTATTGGTGAAGTGCTAAAAAAAACCTGTTTATCTTGGTACCGAGAATAACAGTTTTAGCAGAGTAAACTTAAACTTTCTTTTGGATCTCAAAACTTTATTTAAAGATAACTTCATTTTCTTTAAGACCATCATAATTGGAAAATTGTCTAAGTGGCATAATGCATTTTCGATATCATAGACACAAGTTAAGAGTACAAAGCCTCAATAATTAGGGGTAAAAATCCTGAAACTGTCTCTTTTGAGATCTGAAAACTTCATTTAAAAATAACTACCTTATCTTTAACTTAAGACCATCATAATCGGAAAATTGTACAAGTGCCATAATGCATTTTTAATATCATAGACACAATTTAAGAGTACAAAATCTCAATTAGGGGTAAAAATCCTCAAATTGTATTATGTCAGATTTAAACTGGTCAGTAAGCCTGTTGGAAAAGTGGTAAGGCGTCTGCACTTTTACGCAGTAGGTTGCGGGTTTGAGTCCCACCACGGCAAAAGTGTTGAATTTTCTCAGTCATCACAGAGTTTTCAGTATAAGATTTGAGGCTTTGCATGTTGGAGTATCGGTATTGTTTTGGTTTGCGGTAACACCATGTGGTAATAACTACTGCTTAGAAGATATTTAGTTCTGAAAAGAACTTGTCCTGCTTAGTATCAACTTCGCTAAGTAGTTTTTGTTCTGATAAGAACAGTCCTTCTGTAAGTTCTCAAAGTAAGTACTTATTTCAGTACTTATAAAGTTTTCAGTACTTACAAAGTTAAGTTAATGAAAGGCAAAGTGCAATATTCAAATGTTGAGCAAGGTTGCAAAATGTAAGGATGTTGAACACTAATAATACGTGCCTAATACTTCCCCGTCCCCCCCCCCCCACCCCAAGGTTTCTTCAAAATGCACCTGGTGGGTTTTGTTGGATTTTGCAGGATTGGGGAGGCTAATACTTCACATTAGCCTATTTGAGGTATGGCAGACACAATAGCAGGGCGCTGTTTGATTTGGGTTAAGTCTGTATTTACTTAAACCAAATGGAATTTTGATGAGAGGATTCTTGGCGGAAGGTGGAGGGAGTTGATACGCTTACTGTTGATGGAGAGGAAGGCCTGATCAGTGAGTAGCGGGCAAGCACTGAGACTCAGCCTACTGATGTGGACGTGGAGCCTTGCCGCTTGCAGCAACTCGTTGGTGGTGTACTTGTAGCAGTCTAACGTCAAATATTGCAGATGACTGCGGATACAGAACAGGTCATTGAAGATAAAAATGATATCTGTTCCCTCCCCTCCCCAGTACAATGTTGATTAATTTTCTGCATATACACATTCCACTATCTTGTACTGTTCTATATTTTAACAGAAATGAAACTTTTATTTCAATGCGCGTTTACCACTATTAAAGGGAATATACAACATTTGCAAACATCGAAAAATAAAATTACCAAGTTTTTACGAAATACCTTAATAGGATGTTGGTAAATGACAGTCTAAAGCATCCTGTAAAATTATGGCACCTGGTATACTGTCATTTTCAAGAAAAGTGGTATTTTTGTATCAATTTCCAACGCTGATCGGCCGATCAGCGTTGGAAACAACTGGCTTTTTTTCAAATACTGGCCCCAATTGACCATTGCACTTGTTTGCAATCGATTACAAATCTATGAACGGGTACGAGCCAGCTAGACTGGTTCCCTGACCTTACAATTCCCCAATGTATGTAAACTGCTCTGTTTCTTCTTATATGGAGTCAGGGAACCAGACTACAGGAAAATGATTGTTTTTCTTGGTTTTTATAGCATTTTCGAACCCAAAACCTCCAAAAAGTCAGTGTAACTATATTTGCTTTATATTTCCAACCCCCCAATTCCATCCATTTCTGAAAATTACAGCAAAAGCAAATGATGTATATTCCCTTTAAAGCTATGCTTTTTTTTTAAAATGATTTAGTTGTGTTAGTATTTGATTGTTGCAACTTCAATTTGATGGAATATTTGTCCATTGAAATTGAGGTACAAACTTTTTATGAATATCACGCATGTATTGATATATACAGGGTGACCCCAAAAAAATGCCAACCTAAAACATTTGCCTTTTAAAATAAAGTGATCGGTGGATTTTCATGTTTTGGGTATCATAAAAGCTGGGAGCTTTTTCTTTCAAATACTGACAAAAATCACGAAAATAGCACTTTGGGTTGCTTAGAAAATGGCAATTATGTAAAAGTAGTCATTTTTCATCCTGTATCCAAGTACTTCAAATAGTAAAACATTTTACTGTTAGCCTACTGTGCAATTATGATTATCCTTCATTTGTGCAATTTCTTTAATATTTTGACATATCTATGATGTTGAAAGGGTTTAAAATAGGACTAAAAAGGAGATACCTGTTCATTCAGTAGGAAAATAAAAGGTATTTCCATCAAATGTGTTTGTTCTCTTATTATATTGTGTGCCGTGTTGTTTGTAAGGATAAGGACATGCAAGAATAGGTACAGTAAAAATCCCTTACTGTGGTATTTTTTTGTGTGCAGGATGAAAAATGACTACTTTTCCATAATTGGCTTTTTCTCGGCAACCTAAAGTGCTATTTTCATGATTGTTTCAGTATTTGAAAGAAAAATCTCTCAGCTTTAATCTGATACCCAAAACATAAAAATCCACTGATCCCTTTAAAAGGTAAATGTTCAAGGCCAAAAAAAAAAGTCTCCGGTTTCTGGTATGGTGCTTGCCCAAAAAGTGGTGCGGCGACGCGGCTGTTTTTTTTTTTCTTACCTGATTCTTTTGCTTCAAATGTCGGCTGATGACTGCAAATGGTGCCCGACTAAACTTAGTGCAAATATATGGGAGTCCAGAGAGGCCACATAAAGCTTATTCTCGACCACAACCCAATCTAAAAACACGTTAAAATTGTGCAGCAGCAGGATTCCAGTCAAACCAGTGAGTTTGGCAGTTTTGAGACATCATCATCAACGCGCATGGCTACGGCGCCTTTTTTTTTGGCCTAAGGGTTGCAATTTTTTTTTGGGGGGGGGTCACCCTGTACATGTGTCTTTTTGAAATAGCTGACTAGCTGATTTTGACAGATATTAATGATGCAAATTGGGGCTAATATTTTTCACGGAACTTACTCTTCATACAAATGTGGCATTTGACAAATAATAAAACCTCTGAACCTACTGGCAGGAAATAAAATCACATCACGGACGTTTTTTGTTATATTCTAAGGACGGGTAACATTTTTACGAATATTCTGTTGTAAAGCTATTTTGTTATTCAGTGGATAATCGAATATTCAGATATTCAATATAATATTTGACACAGCCCTAACCATTACTCAGATTTACACACCCTTAAGGATATACATATAATTATTAGCCTCTATCATCACATTGCAGAAAAGGGCCAACATCTAGTATTAGCCATGTTCATTTTGAAAAGAATTTTTTGAACTCTGTCAACCCACCAGGGCAAGAACAAATTCAGCGTCTTCGGTCTGAGCACCCCGGCCTTCTTCAGCTCTTCCACCAGTCGGCTCGCGAGGTGCGGGGGCAGCGCCTCCAGCATTGTGACAGGCTGCCGGGTGCGTCCTTCGATTCGTTTACTGACGCAGCGCAGGCACAGGTCCTGCAGGGCTGTGATGGGCTTGTCGGTGGGGCTGGTCGGGCTCTGGGCTTGGGAGAGAGCTGCAGCCGCCAAACGCGACAATGCTGCTGCAGCTGTTGGCAAATAAAAGAAATTGAGACACTGTTTTATTTCTACTGAAATTTACTAACCAGTGAAGATGCGAATAGTTGCAAGGGGGAAGGGAAGGGGGAGGTGGGAAGCATGCGGAGAGGTAGGGGGGAAATCTCCCATTGCTGTTCCAAGACCTCAAATTACAAAGATCAAGTTATGACAGGACCATTAGTCTATTGGATTTGTGACGTAACTTACGTCTACGCACTAATAGCAACGTGCGAACGTCTCTAGTCAAGGATGGTCAAAATGTAATCGCAAAACTTCTGGGTCCTGGCTCCCTGCTGTAGGTTAATAATGCGTGCAACTATTGGTGCGGTGCAACCAGGCCGAGTAGGCTGGTTACAAATAGTCGACTAGCGTAGTCAAACATCGTCGACTAGACAGAGTTGGGGCTAAATTTGGTCGAGCTATATTTAACCACTGGTCAACAATAGTTCCTGCGCAAACTTGCCCAATGTTTGCCTTAGGTAGGACTATGGGTGGACTGACCCTGGATACATGAGAATCAACCTTTGACCTTTGACCTACCTGCTCTCTGTGGGCTGGGTGCCTCCTCCACGTCACCCTGTTCTCCCTGCTGGCCAAATCCGTAGTTGAAGTTCAAAGGTCGTCTGCCATCGATGAGACGATTGCCGTCACCCCAGTCGTGGTGTGCTCTCCCTGCTGCTGTGAATCAAATTAAATGATTAGTATACACAAACGTGACAAATAGTTTGAGAGGAGACAGTCAATATGGGCTCTGTGCGCCAACAAAAGAGGGTGCGTTTTTACCAGTTTTGTGAGCTCTGTGTACGGGACACACAGCGTGTGCGTACTGTACTGTACTGTACTGGTTTGCGAGTGAAGTACGCACAACTTCCTGAATGTGCAAACTATTAGCCACAGCATCTTCGCGTGAGCGTCATGCATCCTCAGCACGCGAATATATTCAAATTTAACTTGGGATGGTCTCCGAGACTATTCCCGCCTCCAATAACATTGGATATGATTCAAAATACGCAGTGAATCATGGACAAGGAGCCAATCTAGGTCTCCCCCAACTCTCCTTTGCTGGCCGTTGGGGGAATACTTGCGCACCGAGCCCATAAGCTTCCGAAGGTGAGCTTCGGGTATTTATTTGTCAACTTCCAATAACAAGTTAAGCTAATATCAACTATACATCCAAATAATAGTTAGCTAAGACAGTTTTATAAATTACTCCAAAAGTCTTCCAGCTACTAAGTCCGTTTCAAATGACCATTTCATAAATGACAATCATCCTGAGCACTTTCAATGAATCTGGTATCACGCTCGAGCAAAGGTCAATGGACTGACATATGAATCCTGCACACTGTGCACATGGGCACTATACGGTTTGAATGGCAAGTGGTTTTGGTGGGTGTGTTTTACTAACCTCCCATGGGATGTGGATGGGGGGCGGGGCCACCCCAAAGCATGGCTTCCTCAGCCCCTCCCACTCCTGCCTCGTCCACACCCATCATCTCTTCATCATCCATGGCTCCTCCTAAGTCATCAAAGTCCACTCTGGCCCCGCCTACTTCCATAGGCTCCTCCTCCTGCTCCTCATTGGCTGGACTGCTGTCGTCACCGGGGCTCAGGGCTTGGCCATGCCCCCAGCTGTGATGGCTTGATTGGGATCGGTGGTGAGGCGGGGCAGGGGGCGGGGGATGGTGTGGGAGGAGTTGAGACAGGGAGGGAGGCGGTTGCTGCTGATTGGTTGGCTGGGGTTGGCTCTCTCGGTCAGGTGACGCGGCAGGCAGGCTTTGGGCTTCTTGTTGCACTATTATATATGACCATAACATTACACATCAATATGACCAGTTCAAACTTCATGCAAAAGTGAAAGTGAAACCGGATTCACGATATCATAGGAAGTATTCACTTTGCAAAAATTGAACATGAGGAGTGCAATGACACATGTATTTAAAATTTCATGAAACTGTTATTGTTATAAAACTTGAGAATTATGGAGATGCAAAAGAACACAGCCTCACCGTAGAAAACACATTTGGGTTTTTTTTAGGGGGGTGGGGGGGTTAAACTCAGGACAAAGATGAAATTCTGCGCATAAAGTTTGGCCCCAAAATGGACATTTCACTCGGGCCAAAAATTTCTGAAACACAAATGTTGATCTACGCTGGAAACATGCTGCATTAATGATGGCATTTTTCCTGTTCTGTCAAAGCCATTTTCATAGTATATTTGTTTATATAATGTAATATACTACAAGCCATGTAACAAAATTTGTCCACATTTTACATTGCAAATTAATTTTTACAACCTGTATATTAATTTCCAAACACAAAGATCCTCAATTTTAAAGTAATCACGGGCAACTAGGGTTTAGGCTCACATGCAGCGGGCTCTGCTGTTCCCAGCTTTACAACCAGGTTGCCAGTTGGCGTCAGCTTGAGTTCTTCTAACGTTGAGTCCAGCTCTCTGGAGGTGAATGACCTGTGCGGAAACGGCTGTGGGATATAGCAAGAGGAAATTTAGTACAAACACTGGCAACATTTATGAATAACAGTGTGAGATTGGGGAAAATGAAAAATCCCTGAAATATTTGGCAGTGGGTTTTAGGGCCGCTAAGGATCCTAGAGCAACGTAGGGACTATGGCATATGTTTGTATTTGCTTATAGGCACCCTTTAAAATACCCATTTCTTTAAGCTTTTATAGGCAAAAATGCCTTCACGATAAAAGCCAAGGAACTTGCGTATTTCAAAAGGGATTCTTTAAAAATCCTGAAATCAGGAAAAAACCCTTACAAAAAAATCCTGACAAATGTCGACCCTGAAATAATCATATGATTGACAACGAAATGGATTGGAGTTGGGTTCGAACCTGTGACCACTGGAATACCGTACCAGTGCTCTACCAACTGAGCTATCCAGCACTATGTTGGCAGTTTTCCCAATTTTATCAATATCTTGGTTCAAGGCCATAAACCCTTAAATACCAGGTATGCAGGGATCACGCCCAAACTCACTTTGCTAGCAAAATTAGCAAAGCTGCCAAATTAGAGGACAGCAAAGTGGGTTCAATCAGTGAAGAAACAACTTTTTACTATAATTCTTAAAACAAATCTTAAAATTACAGAAATTTGCTAACCAGAAAATAATTGCTTGGCTTAAAAAACAAACAAACAGGTGACTACCCAATAATGCTGTGATATTCATATTGCTTTTGATTGGTGTCCTGTGGTTTTTAACTTTTGAGCCTACATTTGCTAAGCAACATTTTTTTCAGCAGCTCGGTGAGATTGACTCATAGTCTTTTACCTGTATGAGATTAATGTGAATCAGGTCCGAGTGTTGACTCTTGATGAAATCCACCACAGTTTGGAGAGTGGCAGTAGAAGGGAACTTCTCTCGCATGCTCTGCCCTGAAGGTAATCGGACCTATAACCATCAACACAAAACACATATTAGATAATAGTTTGTGGGCATTTAATAATGGATGTGACATTTACACAAAAATGTGTAAACAAATTTTCCCACCAGTGGAAACAGAATTTTAAAAATTTAAAAAATTTTCCTACTTTCGACTTGTATTTTTGATTTTATCCTGCTGGCTAAAAGGAACGGAACAATGAACCGCCGTCGACACAAATTTTTCACTGTCGCGGTCAACAAGCAGAGGAATCTGACAATGAAGTGGTGCAACTTTAATATTAAAATAACATCACAGTTGTGTACATGCATAGTTTTTTTCTTTTTTTTACCGGAATATTTGAACCGGTAAAATGCTGTTCGAATGTTTGGTTGATGATCAAATATTCAAATAGTTGGTATATCCAGGACATCCCAACTCCCATCCCTATGGCTACTCAGTATGGCTACTGGCATACTCAGTATGTTACTTCAGAGTGAAATTGAAAAAAAAATCACTCGGGTGGGACTCGAACCCATGACCTCCTGCTTTCTAGCGCAGACGTCTTACCACTCGACCACCGCGCTAACGGGATCGGTCGGCTGGTTCGAATCTGATGTACATAGCAGCGGCTACTGCATTAGCTATTCATAACCAGCCGTTAGCTCGGTGGTCGAGTGGTAAGACATCTGCACTAGAAAGCAGCAGGTCGTGGTTTCGAGTCCCACCCGAGTGAATTTTTCTAACTTTCACTCGGGAAGGTAACACACTGAGTATACAGGGCGAGTAAAAAAAAAGTGAAACCCAAATGTCCGGACCATAGTTTTAAATAAGTTCTGCATGTAGCTCTTGCAAAGTCTAGGATACGAAAGCCCAATTCATGGGCTTTCTTTTAGTACAAGAATCATTCAAATCACTCATGTACTTTTCAAGTTACGGAATTTTAAACACAACCACCGTTTTAATTTCTGTCCACGGATCACAAGAAGGTAGGTGTTCTTTCAGAAAAACAAATCACATAGGGATGTGTGTGATCACTATGAGTTGTTTTCGTTTTGACGAAAGAACGCACACCTTTTTTTGTGATCCGTGGACAGAACTTTAAAACTGTGGTTGTGTTTAAAATTCCGTAACTTGAAAAGTACATGTGTGATTTGAATGATTCTTTGTACTTAAAGAAAACATGAATTGGGCTTTTATATCCTAGATTTTGAAAGTGCTACATGCAGAACTTCACTAAAACAATAGTTCTGACATTTGGGTGTCACTTTTTTTTCTCACCCTGTACAACGTTTATACATCGGTGAAGGGCAAAACCAAGTTTGAAATTTCATTTTTGTTGCTTCATTTACCTGGAGCATGCACATGGTTGGAGCGCTGGGCATTGGCTTAGACTCTTGAGAAGCCGTCGCCCGTTGGGATGCCTCCATTTTAGCGCCCCCAGGAGGTTCCGCGGCAGTAGCGGCAGGCTGAGTAGGGGGAGTTGTCCCCACGGAGGTCTCAGGCTGGAGGCTTGTTGGTAGCTTGCCATGCTGGTGTCTGGCCTCCTTATCGGCTTCGATGTTCTTTAAGATGTTACTCCTCGCCTGGAGTTAGGACAGAGATTCCAGCATTAGTTGTACTTTGTTTATGATTGACGACATCAAGTGAAAGTGCATGAATGCATATTGTGTTGTTCAGTTTGTGTCTTATTATCCATATTGCTTGATACAAATGAATGTTTAACTTGCAATTCACGAGCATGTCTGCCGAGCTATGCCATTATTGGAGAAAAACTTGTGAATTGTATGCAATATTAACCCTAACCTTGCTAGACTTAACACGGTGAATCAGGTGTATAAAATCTGTGGGACTTTGCTACATGTACAGTAAGCTATCGATACCAGTGCACAAACTGTCAATACTGAAATAATGAAAGCTAGTCCCATTGAATAATGCCACAGTTGTATCGCACTGCAGTTGGTGACCACAGACTCTGAGGCAGTTTGGCCTTGAGATATAGGATCTGATTGATCTTGCTACACTGAGCAGGCTTGTCATTTTGACAAGTGTTGCATGTTGCTGCATTCAGCAGGATTTCTAGCAAAAATTCCCTGGGGAGTTAAGTTTAACCCTTACCCTACTAGACCCTCCAACGCATGCCAATATGTGCCTCAAGAAAATCTCCTATGTTTTTTGCATGGCCCTCCAATATCTGCCATGTCATTTCAAGGGTAACTGGACAGGCACTCCAATACATGCCACAGAGAACAATGAGAGTCCTCTGATAACAAAGTGAGTGCCCCCAGCTGGTCAGTATCAGGCACCCTCCAGGGCCTCCAACTCCTGCCAATTGGAGCCTTCACAGTCAAGATAGTTTATCCTCCAATTAACTGCAGCTGGAGGGCATTGGCATAACCAACTGACATGCAGTAAACTACCCTCAGAGAGTAAGGGTTAATGGGGCAGCCAACTTGCCTGTTTCGCCTGCAGTCTGGCCTGCCGAGCTTCCACGGCAGCCTTTTCTCTCTGCTCCTTCTCCCATCTCTCTTTGTCCTGTCTCTTCTTCTCCGACAGGGAGAACCGACTCACGACGTCCTGCTGCTGAAACCTGCTCTCGTCTGACGTCGGTGGGACGGCGGGATGTGTGAGACCTTGATGGGAGTCTCCTGGAGGGTCTGATGATGGGGCTGATACGGGCGGTAAGCTGAAGGGAAGGTAGCTGGCATCGCTAGATTGGGTTGCTGGTCCGGCCTGGGTGATGAAAAGTTACAATTTCAGGTATTCCATTATATTCTGTTTTGGACAGGGTGCAACATTCAAGTATAATTCATCTTTAAAGTTGTTACAAATGTGACGCGATGATACAATATGCGTCTTCAGGACTAGTTTGTCACTTCCTTCTTTCACATGCGCACTTGTGTGGCATTACAATTGAGGACAGACCAATCCATTCCTCAAACGACGGTGTTTTTGTTGAAACTGTCCTCGATCGTACATTTACGTGCTTAGTCTATGGGAAAGTGTTAAAGTACAAGGACAAAGGGAAACACAACAGGTTGTCCTCAGGCATATAGTAAAACACGACTGCGTGCACTATAAAGAGTAAGTTCAGTTTTTGGCTGTGATTTATCACATGCTGTAGCTGAATATTCTGATGAATATGGAAGTAAGGGGCCATTCAAATTATCCGTGTTAAAAAAAAATGTGCTTCTTTTTAAAAAATTTGTTGACCCCACTCATCCCAAGTTTTTTAATTTTGAAAAGATCTTTGATTTCAATGATTTCCTTGCCCCGCCCATCCATATGTTCAAGATATTTCTTTCAAAATTTAAAAACATTTATGATTTGAATGGCCTCTTACCTTATGTAGGTGAAAATAACGACTTCTTTTAATGTCCAGAGTGCAAATTGTGATTTGACTTGAGCGTAGCTCTAGAAACTTCCAATTCACTTCATATGTTGGAAACGTAGCTCTAGTAGCTTCCAACTCATTTCATATGGTTGAGTCACAAACATGTCTCAAAAGTGTACAAATTGTAACTTGTATCATATTTTCTAATCATAAATTTTTTTTTTGTTATCAAAAATTTTACTATTTTTAGTCACACATACAGACACGGGGTAAGGTTGAAAGTACGCCCAAAATCTGTATTGCCTCCCTGTACAATCCTGTACGTAAATCTCTATCCAGGGGTTAAAAATAATTTTTTTGAGACAGTGCGCTTTCAAAATTTGCTTACGAGGGGAAAGATTGCAACTTACCTGAGATGGTTGATTGAGACTCAGTGTGGGTGCTGAACGTGATGGGATTGTATCTTCAGCACCGTGACCCTGCAGTAACCTGGATAACAGCGATAAAAACTCTAGACGTTAAATCAAATTATAGGTTTTGCCTTTCATCAACGTTTAAACACTGTATACATAGTGTGTTGCCTCCCGAGTGAAAGTTGGAAAAAAATCACTCGGGTGGGACTCGAACCCACAACCTCCTGCTTCCTAGTGCAGATGTCTTACCACTCGACCACTGAGCCAACGGGATCAGATGGCTGGTTCGAATCTGATGTACATAGCAGCGGGTACCGCATAAACTATTATAAGAATACAATAACTCTAGACATTATTAGATATCTCTTCGATCCCATTACCAGACATTCAATCAAAACTCTCTGGTTGTTGAAACTTCCATTTCCCTCAATCTGCCTTTGCAGTCTTTTATGGATAACACATGATGTGTTTCTGGTAGCTTTGCCAAAAATAGGAAAGGTCGGTAGGTAGGGTATTTCGTTTTCTTTGTACAGAAGTACGTAGACAATATACATTTTCCAAGACAACAAAACTAGAAAAAAAAACATCACAAACTAACAAGCATTCCAGATTTTTGGCGGGCATATTTTTTACTTTCAAAAGCATTCATGTATGAATGAAATTAGTGGGGAACAAAATCAATTATAAAATGAAAAAATAAACAATTTAACTGCCGACCCTATGTGTACAAGTACATCCACAATTTTAGGGTCGGTCGGGTTTCCAGAAATGTCCTTTTTTTTGGTCTAAACAATGCACACCAAAGACCATTTTACATTGGCCACGACGTCTGCTTTTTGTTGACGTAAAATGAAATGCGTCACATGTTAGCAGCACAGGGTGGAATTTTGGAGGATTTAGGATGCTTTCCGTCAAATAAGAAACAAGGTTTTGTTGATGGTTGAAAAATAGTTTTATTGAAGACTCCACTGATTGTGAAATTAAGTATACATTTGCAATATTGTTTGACATTTATGTTCCGTTCAACTCACCACTCCACAGCGTCGTTAACGGTGAGTTTCCCACAATTCACTGCTGCTTGGCAACGATCCAACTCAAAGCCCATGCCTACAAGGGAGGCCAAAAGGGAGTCGACTGTCTACAACACAAAACAGACCAGAGATAAAGATTTGGGGTTAATTTTTCAAGTTTTCATATTTTTTCAAGTGTTTTTTTTTCAACATCTGGTTTTATTGTCATGCTTGTGCATGTTATCACAATCCAACGAAGTCATGGCGCACCAATGATGTGCAGCCGGCACTGAACGTGTTGAAGCCATAGATTTAGTCTAGCTTGAGTAACATCCAGCTGACATGCTCATCAGGAATTCACATGTAACGCTGGAGACAAAACTACGTTGTACATGTAAATGTGAGATTTTAAGAGACCCTAAAAAAACAGCCTCTACAAAATGGTCCTTTTACCCTTGATCCCAACGTAGATTCCATTTATAAACATACCTCATACCATGCACACAGTCATTCACGATGCTAATGATTGACTTGAAACAGAGCAAAACTTACTAAAATATGAAAAATATTGAGGATTTTGGTGGCTTCTTCAGAAAAACAGTCCAGTGCCACACTGTCATGGCTGTGTTGTGGATATTTTGTGCTTGTATCTATCAGCCAATCAGATTATTCCTTGATTACTCATGCTGAGTAGGACATCCAACAGCCGTCGGGTCAACGCCAATGCATGGACTGTACTGTGTACATGTGCAGAATGTACTACTGACCCAACAGCTGTTGGATGTCCTACTTAGTATAATTAATCGACAAATAATCTGAAGAACCCAACGAAATCATCAATGTTTTTTTATATCTAGTTAAACTTTTGTTCTGTTTCAAGTCAATCGTAATAATTAGCTTCGTGAATGACTGAGTGCATGGTGAGGTATGTTTAATGGAATTTGGGTTGTGATAGAAGGGAAAAGACCATCATGTAGAGGCCGTTTTTCTAGGGTCTCTTACAATCTCACATTTACAACATAATTTTTTTCTCCAGCGTTTATACATGTGAATTCCTGATGAGCATGTTGTCAGCTGGATGTTACTCAAGCTAGATTTAATCATCTGATTTCACCCCATAATTTCGCTCAAAAATCAAAACCCTGCTCTCGACACCCAATAAATCCTGCCACATGACGTTGCCAGCTATTTTGGTGAATCCAGAAACTAAAAAGTGGATTATGTTCTCTTACTGGAAAGGTGTCCAAAACTACAAAATCCCGCAAAAGCCAAAGTATTTATTTCAGATTTGTAATGATTTAGGCAGTGGATATTTAGCCAGAGACGGCAAACAAATGTTAGCTTGCCTGATATGCAGTTATGCACTGAACATGAGCAGTTTGTACTTCGGCATTTTCCGGTGACAAATTTTAGTCTGGCTCCATGCCAACATTATCGTTGTAACTTCGTATTCACAAGATGGGAATCAGACCATTTTACAATTTCAGACTTTATTTCCCTTTAAAAAAATCTTTCAGAGCCACAAATCTGAAAAAGATAATGTAATACTCTGCAATAAAATGTTTGAGACATGCTAAAATAATAAAACAAGAATCTTATTTTTGGGGATGGGGAAAAAAACCCTTACATTTTCACCAGCAGGGATCGAACCCGGATCATCCCGCTCATGAGATCCGTTGCTTATCCACTAGGCCACAGGTGCTACACAACCATTGGTGGTAATTTAATATATCTTATAATTCAGCCCTATCTTAGAGAGTACAGCGCCTTCTGTTGATAGGGATTGCCGCCGGCAATACAGTCGACTCATTATTTAGTACAACATGTACTAGCCCCATAAATGTGGCCTATTTACTGGACTGCCTCCGTAAACATAGGCCACACGTCCACATGTACAAAAATCGTGTCGACTTTGCCAAATTTTGATTTTCACATTTAGGCTTAGTTTGTAGGATTTTTTTGCTTTAGAAGCATACTCACCCACTTTATAGGTTAGTCAGAAAGTGCTGCCTTTTTCAGATGTCTAATTTTTGTGAAATTTCATGTTGAAATTTTGATACGCAAACGTGTAAAAATGAATCTGGAAATTTCACAAAAATATACATCTGAAAAAGGCAGCACTTTCTGATTAGCCTATAAAGAGGATGAGTATGCTTCTAAAGCAAAAAACCCTACAAACTAAGCCTAAATGTGAAAATCAAAATTTGGCAAAGTCGACACGATTTTTGTACATGTGGATGTGTGGCCTATGTTTACGGAGGCAGTCCAGTAAATAGGCCACATTTATGGGGCTAAGCAAGCTAGTGCCCGGGGTGCAACTGCAACTCCAGTGAATTGGCCACATTCATGGAGCTCAGTGAGTTCCAAACCAATTCCACCAGTTCATAGAGAAAATATTTAATCAAAACAAGTTTTATACGAATATTTACCTGTGCAGCGTTGGCCATCTCTCATCAGTCACTCTAGCTAGCTTTACGTGCACCACGGATTCATCAGCTGAAGTCAATCACATCATGGCCGGCTAGCATTTTTGTCGCTTGGGGGCGCTGCTCTCATCGTGCGCGTGCCACATGTTGAACGCGCCACTCCCAACTCAAGACAACCGCAGCCGGGAAAATCCCACAAAAAGATCAATCCGTCTCGTCTTCAACCTTTACTACCCACACAAGTATAAATACTAAACTGAAATCATGCGAAAATGCCAGTTTAATTGCGCTGTCAAAGCTGTTCATTGGTCCAGCACTGCAGTGCAGGCAGCAACATGCTCAGATGGTCACCGATCGGTGACCCGTGTGCATCATAACTCTTTAAAAAAAAGTCAGAGAAATGAAGTATATCCAGGAACCACCTCAGTCAGATTGCGCCACGGAGCGTCTAGTTCCAGGGCGGACCCCGGACCCAACATCCGCCTTAACGACTTTGCGAGAACATTGACCACCACGGCTCCCCCCCCCCCCCCCCCCCCCCCGCCGCCCTAAAAACAAAACACTCCGAAAATATCTCGTTAAAAAAAAAAAATCACACATTTCAATATTTTGATGTGAGATTAATTATAGGCTTTTTGTGAGCCGCATAATATCACGCACCACATTATTCGTGTTTGCTTCACCTGCATACTGGACGTGTACCGTAAGTGAATTAGTGATAAATAATATGTTCTATATTTTTATGTTTCCCTGAAAGAGCGGCCTGAATTACCTAATGCGAAGTCGAAGTGGGCCGAATCTTGTGCCTAAAAAAACTAGAGACAAATCCTGGGCAGACCCAGTCGTACGTCGCGCGTCGACACCAGGACTGGTTTGATGAAAATAATAAAGAAAATAGCTTCGCTCAAAGAAAAGCATATGCAGTCCACAATTCAACGATTGGCTCTCGGCACTGATGCCGCCAGGTCACACTAAGCCCGTAGCAAGGTCCAGCGCTCACAACGTGAAATGAAGAACGAGTGGTGGATTAGGAATTGGAAGTCAGTGGATCTGCAACATTTTGGCAGCGCGTCCGGTGTAGGAGATACAAGGGGCTTCTTCCAATAAGCCAGGTCTATTCAATGGATGGTGGGACCACCCAAGCGGGGCTCTGTCTCGCTTCTGAGTTCGGATGATGGCTCCATATCTCCGAACACGATCGACAAGTTCAACACCCTGGGCTGAACACTTTAAGTCTCCGTCTGCTGGACAGGCATGTGAACTAACGTGTTGACTATACCAGGCTGATCTCCTACCTCACACTGAATTAGACATTTTACCATATATGCAGGAGCTACAATTACCTTCGCAAGGAATGGAAAAGCTCATTGACTTGATGGCATCCCACCGGAAGGCTTTCAGCACGGTGGTCCAGCTCTAGAAAACAGACTGCTGAGACTCTTCCACAAGATTTGGGATGAAGAATCAGCCCCACAGGTTCTTATGCAGTAATACTCGATACCCCTCTACAAGGGGAAGGGTCTTAGGTCTGACAGCGATTCCCCTTCTTGCTATTGCCGGAAAGATCTTTGGCAAGGATTCTGCTGAGAATGATTACTACTGTGATACTGCAAGACTTCCTTTCAGAATCGCAGGTGGGTTCCGACCCGGGCGAAGCACCATTGAAATGCACCGTCACTGTAGCAACTGCTTCACAAGCTTGGATGTACGCACATATAGTGGGGGGGCCAATGTACTTCCGTTGGCATGTCATGTTAATTTATGGCAACCATTATAAATGTAATCTTATGAGTCCTGAGAACAAGAAAATTGATGTTGCCATTTTTTCCATTGACCTTTAGTGACCTTGACCTGAGGTCAAAGTTCATGGGTCATTTTCACCTAAAATTTGCCTTTTGGAAGGGTTTGCGAAGATTTTCGAGGCAAGTGGGCACATATTGTATTTAGTTGAGAGTTTCTCCATTATAATAAATGTTATTATTAATGTATTTATGGGTTTTCCTGAAGAAAACATGGGAAAATGTCACTTTTGCCAGAAAAGGGCCGGGTTGTTTTGACCATCTCACGCAGATTCCGCCCCCCCCCCATGACCTCGGCCATCGAGTGACGAAAAATTATGAAACTCGGTACATGCATGGAACAACTTAACATGAGCAAACCCAAGAAATGTCATGACTATGGGTCAAAGGGTTTTGGAATTACGGCTAATTAATTATTCATAAGCACGTATGTGTACACTACGTATGTGTACATACGTAGTGTATACTACGTATATGGGGAAATTCAGTTTTGACGGAGGGTAGCGCCGAAAATATTTCGCTGCGCGGCAACCTGTCGTTCGAATTTTATGTTTTTGGTATCAAAAGATGTGCAAGACTCAAGAAAAAGTTGAAAGGGGGGAAATCTGCCCCCCTTTTAGGGCCAAAATATGACCAACCCTTTAGTGCCTGGCATCTAAATATGAAATGTTGTAAAGTGTCCTCTGCGGTACCGCACTCACACAGGGTGTTTGTCGGTTGAGGAAAATCCCCACTTCTTTTGGTGCGAGCCACTCCAGAGTGGAGGTGATTTAAGCACCTCCAGGTCTTCCATCCTAATGCCACCGCCACAATCCACAAAACAGCCCAAGCCACGCATAATTATCGATTTAATAGCCACAGCAGCATTATTGGCTATCATGCCAACACAGACTCGACGCTTTTGAATCGCTGGCCGAAAACAAGTCAACTGAGCCTTATTCACAATCAGGCATGCAACTTTTCCTCGGATCAGCTGATTTCCTCTTTTTTTATTCTCATTTCTGCCATTCAAAATTGAAAATCACTGTACAAAGTCTTCTGAATGTAGGAATTTCCTCTTTTTTGGTGAGTTTACAGTTGCATGCCTGTACAGTGCGAAACTGTCGAAGTTTTTCCACAGTGGAGGCTGGAGATAAAGTTTCAACCCTGCTCTAGCCCTTGTGAGCCACAACATCGCCTCACTTAGCAACAAGATGGTCCTTGACCCCATTCCAAAGACCCGACATCGCCCTATTGGAATCAAAGTGACTGCTGCTGTCTCTCAGCAACAATTCCATTCCCACCGCTGTTTCAACTTAGTAAGGCCAACTGTGAAGGCTTCACCAATGAGCTCAAACACCATCTAGCTGACATTGATCCAACCCCTGATAACTATGACACCGGTTTGTTGATGTGGTGGTGCAAGAACATCCCTACGGGCTGCCGCACTGCTTAGCATCCCGTAGTGCTGAACTTTACAGGAAATAGAAACGCATGTATGAAAACGACTCTCTTGCTGTCGATACCATCTCATCTGGGGAGGAATTAATAACAGCCATATCAGAACAGCTTCAAAGCTTGTGGCAAACCCTTGTGGTAACAACCAATATGGCCAAGAAGCCAATATGGCCTCCAAGCCTGGAGTATAATATAAAAAAAAGCTCAGCCAAGTGAACAGCATTGTAACATCACCGCCAACCAAATAGCCCACAACAACTGCTATTTAAATGGTAAAGTGCCACGTTCTCCTAATAAGCGACCGAAAGCCTAGCTCCGCCAGAAAGACCCCACCATCGACCTAATTGGCTTCATCAAATCCTTCTCTGCTAATGAACTTGCGACTGGCATAAATAAAGAACAGGAAATCAACCAAACTGGATAACATTTTCACCAAAGAACTGAAACATCTTGGACCAAACGCCTCAAATTGGTTACTCCAGCTCATCAACACCTGCCTCGCCACACAAGCAATACCTAAAGTGTGGCAAAAGTCAAAGGTCATCGCCCACCTAAAACCCGGGAAAGACCCAATGCATGTCAAAACTTATCGTCCCAAAGTCACACATTCAAGTTGCTGGAATATTTCCTCCTCAACCTTCTTGCCTCTTCATTGAGAAACAACTGATACAGGAACAGGCAGGCAGGCTTCCGTCCCGGCAAGTCTACAACGGGACAGCTTCTAAACCTCACTCAGTACATTAAGGACTGCTTCCATCAGAAAAAAATAGATCACCGGCGCTGTCTTTGTTGATCTTACAGCTGCTTTTGGCAGTGTTAACCGTTGCTGACTCCTTCAGAAGATCCTGGACATGACGGCAGACCTGACCCTTACCCAGTTTATTGGTGTTCTACTGAAGAACCATCGTTTCTTTGTAGTATTCAAAGGCAGAGTAGAGTACGTCTTCAAAGGAACGGTCCCCAAAGGGAAGACGTTGACCGATGCTCTTGACCAGTCACAGCAGTACTACACTGTGAGTCACCTGAAAGCGATCAACCCTGCTATTAAGACCCAAGTGTGTGCATCCTGGGTTGACCAGGCTGGTGGCGTCTCCCCCACTACATGAGATGCCAATCAAGCCTGCAGAAGCCTTACCTACAGGATCCAATACAGGATGGAAGACCATGGAGGTGCTTAAATTACCTCCGCTCTGGAGTGGCTCGCACCAAAAGAAGTGGGGATTTTCCTCAACCGACAAACACCCTGTGTGAGTGTGGTACTGCAGAGGACACTTTACAACATTTCATATTTAGATGCCCGGCACTAAAAAGGGTTGGTCATACTTTTGGCCCTAAAGGGGGGGGGGGGGGGGGGTTTCCCTCTTTCAACTTTTTCCGCGATACTCTTGAAAAAATTATTTATTTCACGGCTTGAGCTGTCCTGACTTTTTAGCCTCGAGTCTTACACATCTTTTGATACCAAAAACATAAAATTCGAACCACAGGTTGCCGCGCAGCGAAATATTTTCGGCGCTACCCTCCGTCAAAACTGAATTTCCCATATACGTAGTGTACACATTTGAATTACCATACCTGCTTATGAATAATTAATTAGCCGTAATTCCAAAACCCTTTGACCCATAGTCATGACATTTCTTGGGTTTGTTCATGTTAAGTTGTTCCATGCATGTACCGAGTTTCATAATTTTCCGTCACTCGATGGCCGAGGTCATGGGGGGGGGGGGGGGCGGAATCTGCGTGAGATGGTCAAAACAACCCGGCCCTTTTCGGGCAAAAGTGACATTTTCCCATGTTTTCTTCAGGAAAACCCATAAATACATTAATAATAACATTTATTATAATGGAGAAACTCTCAACCAAATACAAAATGTGCTCACTTGCCTCGAA